TAATGATTTCACGCTTTTTTGTAATTTTTTAAATAATGTACATTTACGATAATCGCATTTTAAGAACACAGATTATCGTCCTCGTCATTTAAACTTGGCGCACAGTTTTGTACAGTCCATGGGGCTGTTTTTGGTATGATACATTGTGATATAGTTACATATATTTTGAGTACAAATTGTCATATATGTAATACTCCTATATTGCTAGTCGGTATAGGGAGAGAGACTTAAACATTACGGTGCAGACATATATGCGTTTGTCTCACTTATTATACGCTGCGACTTGTGCGCATGATTGTGAATGGAGCGTGCGCATTAGATAGCATTTCAATTTGTACAAGAAATGAGATATGAGATATTCATTTTGCATATGAAGTAGCGTCTGTTTTACATGCTACATCCAATTTTTTATATATTTTAATTGACTCCATGTAAAATGTCAAGTTTGTATTATACAATTAAAAGGCGACGCTACTAAAGGCACAATGCCTTTATTATCGCAAATAAAAAATCGCGGACCATATATAACACCATCAAAGGATGTAATGGCTATTTGCAAAGTTTGCGAACAGATTATCAGAAAATATCAATCGGAAATAAGTGAACCTTCAATTAAACAATTTTTAATAAATAAAATATTTAACAACATAGGGATGCAATTTGACAATAAAATCATGAATGAACACATTTTGGATAATCATCGATCGCAACTTTGCAAATACGTTATTGAATTATATTTAAATACTCGGTTACATTACGAAGCCAAAAAAATGTCCGAGAAGGATCATTTTATAAGACAGAAATATACAAAACTCGTATTATTTAAACACCAATAAGTTTAATAATGTATAATTTGTTATACTGGTATGTGTAAATAATAAATTATTTATTGTTAAGTATTATTTTTTTTATCTTAGTTTTTTATTTCCTTATATCCTTTAATCAATTCCCCATTTTTTCTGAAATGCCTGTTTCAAATATGTTGTTCATTTGAATGAAGCTGCTTATAAGAAGTAGAATATGCAAACTTCATTTTAAAAAAATTAAATGAAATCTTTTGTCATTAACAAAGAAAAAAAACATTTCTATTTGTAAATTGTTTAAAATTAATTTCAGAGCTCATGAATGCTACATTTTTTATACAGTAAACTTTAAAATTATTAAATAAAGATATTTAAAATCCAATAGCTTGTATACTATTTATAATTATCATTATCACATTTTAATTGTATTTAGTGTATAATAATTGTCATTAAAATATAGACAGGAAAAAAAATATTTTTTAAATTAATAATCATGAATATTTATTTATCATCATCACATTTATATATGTATAATTAAAAAATAGGAGAGCAATGTTAACTATTGTGGCGATGTACAAAAGTGATTAGTATGTAGTTTGTAAAATCTAATACAAAAATAATAATTTAAAGGAACAATAATTGACTTAATTATTATTTTTCGCATTTATTACATGTTATTTTATTACTGTGGATGTTGGGTCAAACTCAAGGAGCTGGGGCAGCTTGGGGAAAAGACTTTAAAATTTTAATTCTTCAAAAACTTTCAATTGTAATTTTTATAAAACAATTTAATTTATACTGGTATTTAAAAATATTATTTATAGTCATCGAATTGAATTACAATTATTGAACAATAAAAATTAATTTGTTCTTATAAGTTTAGATTATTTTATTTATTATAAATTTATTTACAAATAAATAATGTATAGAAATACCTTTGAAATTAGATATTTAATTATTATATATAAATGATTTAATTATTATACATGTTTGAACAATTATTAATTGAAGTTATTCTACTAATAATAATAATAGAGAAAAGAAAAGAATGAAGAAAGAAGATTTGAACACCCGAGACTCACTGCCGGAGTCGGGAGCTTTACCGCTGAGCTACGAAGCATACACAAACTGATTTACTATAACTTAATTTTAAGTTGTGAAAGGGAGGTGGCTTGCCCTTCTCCAATTGCCAATTCTCCCTCTACGGTAGTGACGCTTGCGCACAACAGTTCAAATGAAAAAAAAGAGACAGACATATTCATTTTCTGTCTCACTTCATAGGCCACGCGCCCACTTACGGGAACTAGCAATATAGGAGTATTAGATATATGCAAATTGTACTCATTTATATTTATACCAAAAACACACAATAGTCCCGTCAATATAGGAGGCTTGGCTCCATTTGCGTTGAAAATTTTTGTACAAAGGGAAATTTTTAATTTTCTAACGTCAAAATATCCCCAATGATCTATAGAAGAAATGTGTCTAAAAACGAATATTGGTATAGAAAATTTCTATAAATAAATAAAAAAAGCAACAATTCAGAACGATGTTTTTTTCGAACGCATTTACCAGAGCGCTATACCAAAGCGTACGAGAAAGATAGCGCTCAGCTATGTAACGGTAACTTTACTAAAAGTTTTATAAAATCACCAACTTTAAGAAATTGATGATTTTGTAGGTTTTTTTGTTCATCAAATAATTAATGAAATAATATTGAACAAAAAAAACTATAATTTTTGTATCGAAAATAAGTTTTTTATATTCTGATAGTTGTGTCCTTTTCTAGCGCTATAGTGATATCCCGCTTACATACACGGAACCACTAAAATGCGAAAAAATCATATAAAAAAAAATCAGCGCACTTTCGTTTCTGGGCAAATTTTTCTATAGGTCATTGCGGATATTTCGACGTTAGAAAATTAAAAATTGCCCTTCGCACAAAAATTTTCAACACAAATGGAGCCAAGCCTTCTATATTGACTGGACTACAATATGAATTTGGGTTATATATAATGAAAAATGATGTATAGTACAAGTATACACGGAAAAAATTAAATGATCGCCACAACTATAATAATATAGTGATCTTTACTATAATCCCATACAGTTTATTGAACAATAAATTGTCGATGCAGTAACTAAACCAGTCACATAGTTACTACAATCATGATTATATTAAAGACTAGACTCAGAGTCGAATACGACCGTTTTCCAGTATACGTCTGTATGTGTGTATGTAGGTATGTGCGTATGTACATTCGAAATTATTTTTCGCCTCGATTATCTTGAGAACAAAAGATGATATCAACGTGGAACCAACTGCATTCGACGCGTAATTACGTTTCGTTTCATTGTATTTTTTTTCCTAAAAAAAGTTACTAACTATGAAACATGAATGAAAACGAACTTTTTTTTTATAACAATTGGATTTGTTAAGAAAAATTAAAAATGGGATCTACGTGTCACTTTAAGTTATTTCAACGGAAAAGAATAAATGTATTATTTTCCTTTCCATACCATCACAAAGCAATATGTATGTAGAATTAGCTTACATGATCTACAAAGTTATTCGTTAAAACTCTTTCAATCAATTAGTATGTAACGTAATTATATACATCACGCAGGAGGAGTCTAAGAAATCAGCTAGGAGATTTTATAGATATAATTTTAATTCTCCAAAATTATCATGTAGTTTCTATTTAGAAGTTATTTTTAAAAGTCTAAATAATTATCATCTTTTCGCATCATTAATTTCTCCAGATGTGGAGCAATTATTTAGTACCAATGTCATCATTTTTCGCCCAAGTAAAAATAAATAGGCGTAAAAAAAAATCCAAAACATGCAAAAAATGAAAAATAAGCTTAATAAAGATCTGATTAAAGCCCAATCTTGTCTTGAAACAATTTTGAGTGCCCTAAACAAGCTCATTACAGGCCTAAATTTCAAAGAAGCCCAATTCAAAGCCCATTTTCTAAGATCATATTCTCTAATGATGACAACAAATTATTACAACTGTAAATTTTTAGCATGAATGTTTTTTTAATGATAAATGTTTACAACAATTTCTATTTTTTCAGGCTTGAATTGGACTCATTGTAGGCCACCAAAATATTTTTGGGCTTGAATTAGGCCTCTTTTGGACGCGCCAAAAAACTGATCGTTTTTACTTGGATGGGTAAAAAAATAAACGAAAAATCAATTCTAAAGATATCAGAGGAACAAAATCCCATATTCTATTATAAGCATTACTTTCTTATAGAATTAAAGACTACAATAATCATAATAACTTTTAATTTCGACGTTTTTCATTTTAATCAACACTTTCAAAGCTACGAAATTTATAGTGATTCGGATATTTTCAATATTTTAACCATTGAAAATCTTCTATTTTGTATAGTGAATAAATTGATAATAGGTTTAAATAGAAAACACTACATCCCTAAATGTTAGATGTAATTTATATTTAACTTACTCTATCAATTAGCTTTAATTTTATGTGGATTAATACTCATAACGAGCTGTTTGAATATTCAGTTGATATTTTTAAGTTATAATATACATTAAAAATTATAATAAATATTTTTTTCCGTAGATTACGTCTATAATTCATTAGGTAATTACATTATTATTAAATTTTTTTATTATGGTGATAATGACTATGTCACCTAGTTGACTTAACTATGGTCATTTTAGTCCACTGAACCAAAATTATGGTAAAAATAACCATTTAATTTTCTCCCTGTATACTTCAAAAACATAGTGTAAATTAAAAATATATAGATAGTTATACAGATACATACAAAGAACATGCACTGCAATTATCTTAAATGTACACCGTAAAAATACTGTGGATACCAAAAGTGCATCCACTGTAATTCTTAAATAAATATTAACTATTTGTAATATTAACATCGTGAAAGAACAGTAAACACTAAAAATTTATATCGTAAAAACACAGTATAAACTAAAAAAAATCACTATGTAACCGGTAAATGTGCACAGTGATAGATTTAAATATATTTCAAATATGTACAAAAATTATTTTAAGTTTCCGGCAATTTCTACGGCATTATTCAATAGTTTTTATCAACATTATAATTGTATTCAAGGGAATTATTTAAGGATCGTTTAAAGACCAAAAGTTACACTCTGGTAGACCAGAATGATTCCCAGTATTTACAATTTATCCACTAATGAATGCTAGAAATAATATGAGTTCAGAAAGCTCAAAAGAAGATGATAGTTCATATAGAGATGATTCCGAAGCAACAGAAGATGTGAGTAATTTATTTCTTTAATTCATTTTTAAAAATTAAGGATTGTTCTATTATAATATTATTTTTGATTACTCAATTTTGTACTTAAGCTTTTTTTGAGGCTTACCCCTCGCGGTTTCTAGGGACTGCAATTCTACGGTTAAAAATTCGTTAAAACTCGATTAAATTTAAGTTAAATTCCAGTTATTTTCTGGGGAAAAAAATGGTTCAATATAAGCTAAATAAGCAAACCGAAATTTCACCGTTTTTTCTCGGTTAAAAACCAGTTAAAAAGCAGGAAAATAAGTCGCGTATTTTACTGAATATTCACGGTTAAATCTCAGTTAAATCCCGGTAAAATATTAAGTATTGAACTAAATAAAAACAGTAAAATATAAGTTAAAAACCGGTTGGAAATAAGTTGAATAATAATAATAATTTCTATATATCCTGACGTATATAAAGGTTAAATACTGGTTGAATAATCAAAATAAATCTCGCGTATTTAACTGGAAAAAAATGATTAAATATTCGTAAAAACCGAGTTAAATATCAGTTTGAAAGAAATTAATTTTTTCAGTAAACAAGTGATTTTATATCTACTCTCGCGACTATAATTCGTTTATAACAGTCTGTAATTGTTATAAATAATTGAAAAACGTCAATAATTGTTGGATTTGAGTCTTTCTAGCGGAATTTGTTTGATATCGACTAGATAAGGTCTCTAATGAATCTATATCTACTTTTGCTACCCTATCTAATCGATATTCATCAAGTGAGACGTGATCCGGATAAACCACCAGCCTTATCAGCCTGGACATCAAGACCAAAAATGCAATATTTGCCTGGAAAACAGAACTTAAAGATCTAGAATTATCGATAGATAACGATTTTACTGCCAAGCAGGCGGTAATACAACAATGGCTGAAACAAGAGGCCAGCAGATTAAATGCAGTAGGAGCAATTACAAGAGTCCTTTATATGAAAATACAAATCAATGGCTCTTGGAAAAGATGGAACTATAACTCTGGGTACGTTCATGATAATAACTCAGGATCACCATCAGAGCAAGTGACCTTAAAGTGAAAGGATGAAGGAAGGAATGATTATGTCACTGCGATCACTGAAGATTTAGAAAATATTATGGCAAATAACGAGGACATCAATGAGAAGAAATGGTCGTTTATTGAAGAAATGATCATCAGGGCGGCACACAAGAGTAAGCTGGTAAACAGAAACAAGGATGGACAGAGAAAAAAAGGAGGTTATAACGTACCCTGGTTCAACAGTATCTGCAAAGAAAAATTTAAAGAACTAACTAGATGCCTTAAAAAGTTTATCAAAGATGGATCAAAGACCAATAAAGCCGTTTTAAATTGCAAGAGAAGTGAATTTGAAGAGCTAGTGGAATCGAGTGAAAAAGAATGGTTTGCCAAATTCTGATAATTAATTGATGGAGCCAGAGGTATGACGGATTAGTGGAGAGAGAAAAAATTGTAGTCCTCTAATAACATCTGAAGCATGGCTGAAACACTTCAAAGGATTGTTCAACTACGAAAGTAAGGAGAGCTGGAATGAAGCTGTACGTGCACAGCAGAGTAATGAGGAATGTAGAAATGGTACAACAACGGGCTTCACCGAGAATGAGAGTATTACCAGGCAACAGAAGGGTAATAATGAAACAGACGATGAAATGAATGAACTGAACAAAGAGTTTTTCACTGATGAACTACAAATGGCGCTTCGCAAATTGAAAAATAATAAGGTGGTTGGTCATGATGGTATTGCGGCTGAATTTTATAAAATGTTACCAAGACAAGGAAAGGAAATGTTGCTTGTTGCAATAAATAATATCTGGATGAGCGGGAATATGCCGGAAAAATGGAACGTTGCTACTATTGTACCAATACTGAAGAATGGCGATGAGTCGAAGGTAGAAAATTACAGGGGTATCTAGCTTCTGAATACAGGTTATAAGATCTTAATATACATGATGGCGAGTAGGTTGGATCTCTGGTTAGAAAAAAATCATATCCTGAAAGAGAGTCAAGCGGGATACGGGGTTAGTCGTAGAACAAGGGATTATATGTTCATTCTGAACAGCCTCATCAACAAAACAACAAAGGAGCAAGGCAAGAAATTGTTTATTACTTTTGTTGACTTCAAGGCTGCTTTCGACAAAGTTGACAGACATCTATTAATGGAGAAAATAAGCAATTTAGGTATTTATGGTAACATTGCTAGAGTGGTTATGGGCAAGTGCAAGATTTATGTACTCAAGTATGGGGACGATACTGCCATCGTGGGTGAGGATGCAGGCAATATAAAGAACATGTTAATAGAACTAGAACAATACACAGAAAAGAATAAAATTGTTGTCAACACAAAAGAGATCAAGATTATGATTGTTGGGAACAAGAGACGTAGGAAGAGAACTGAATGGAAAATAAATGGTGGTTGTATCGAAAAAGTAAACCGTTTCAAGTATCTTGGCTGTGTTTTTACAAAGGGAAACAGTCTGCAACCTCAAATTGAGTTAGTTTGCGGCAGGATGGAAAATGCCATCAACACAACATGAGGTATTGTAAAGGGAGCACGTAGAACCACACTAAAAGAAAGACTATACTTGTATGATTCTTCAGTAAAAGCAGGTGGTTTATATGGTGTGGAAGTATGGGGATGGAAAGAGAGACCAAGAATAAGAAGATTGTTTGGAAAGTGTTGCAAGATGGCATTGGGTGTTAGTGTAAACACACCAGAGTATTTATGCAAAAATGAGGCTGGCATGGAGGGTAGTTTCATTAGAGCGGCAAGGAGAACATGCAGATACATCTGCGATGTTATAATGATGGAGAATGGAAGGTGGCCGAAGGTATGCTTTAGAGAGGAAGTATGACAACTCATGAATAAAAAACCAATGAAATGGGGTCAGGAAATGATGAGGACTTTCACAAAAATGAAATGTGAGAAAGCAATTAATAGCATTTGGGAAGGTGGTGATGTCCATGAACTTAAAGAACTATTCAAGACTGGTATTAAATACTTAAGAGAAATTGAAGCCAAAGAAGATAACAGAAAGATCCTCAACTTAAAATTCAGCAGGATCTATAAGATGGTTAAGTCGACTCAATCACCGGTAGCATTTTGGAGGGAAAAGAAAACAGAAGGTTGGTTACAGGAGACATGCTCCAGATTAAGATGTAATTGTTGCACGATAGGGGGCAAGAATGGATTCAGCTCATGGCTGTGTAGACTATGTGGCAATAACCATGAAAGTCTGGAGTACATTTTTGCTTGTAAAGAAGCACCCTGCTTAAACATTCCTATTGAGAAAGACTAAACCCTATAGGCTTTTTCGGAATTTGAATGGGAAAAGTTGAAAAATTCTCGCCATCCGCAAGAAGTCTAATAGGATTATACAAATCTGAATAGGTATGAAAATGGTGATTGTCAAATCTATGGGATTCCGAACTTTTCTATTTACACAACTGAATAGGGTTATGATGATTCTAAAAGGTAGTTAGCGGTTCTATAGGAAAAAGAGAGTTTCTACAGGGACAAATAAAAAATATTTAAATAGGTTTGACATCTCTAACATCCAAAAGGAGATGAATGGATCTTAATAGGGAAATACGACTTGAAAATTTGTCAAATTATATATTAAACCTCAATAGGATTCTGCAGTATTCAACGAGTTTGACTTCTCCCATATCTTATTAAGGTTTGATGTATAATTTAAAAAATTTCTAAATCGTGTTTTACTTTTGAATCCATTCATTTTCTATGGCAATTGTTTTAATGTTCTTCTATTGAATAATATTCAGCAGGATTTTATTTGGACTAAGTTCTTAATAAATTTCATTTCAGGTGTATATTCAAACGACGAATTTGTATAAACGAAGAACCTCTAGAGCGAATTAAAATTTTCTTCCGTTTAAAAGAATTTTTTTTTGTGATCATAAGATCCTATTGAAACGTTCAATAGGTTAACCTTTATTAACTTTCCAGTGGGAAGTTATAGTAATGGGTCCGATTTTGCGAATCCCGAATTTCGACATATCTCCACGTTTTAAGGTCCTCAGAGTCGAATACGACCGTTTTCCAGTGGACGTCTGTGTGTGTGTATGTACGTATGTGCGTTCGGAATTTTTTTTCGCCTCGATTATCTCGAGAACAAAAAATGATATCGATGTAGGACCAACTGCATTCGACGCGTAATTATGTAACTTAGAACTGATTAGGTTTTCAGCAAAATCGGTCCAGTAGTTTTTTGTGAACAGCTTTGAACTATTGGGAAAGGATACGTTCCTATATAGAGCAGCATATCAGGCAGCGCAGAAGCTCGCTCAGTTTTCGACTCTAGCAGTCCAGACGATCTAAGATTATTGCAATTGACCAGAGGGCAGCGAAAAAACAACCGAGCAGTTAAAACTGCTTGACGAACATGTGGCAAAGTCCTTACACGGTGTGTTTTATCATCATCTCGAAACACAGGACTTGTCACACCAGCTGACTTTCCAAAACCTTAAGTCAGCTGGCTTATTCTCTAAGACCGAAGGATTCATTATGGCCTTCCAAGATGGTGTATTTTCCACCCTCGCCTATCGGCGTGATGTTATGCACGAGCAACTCGAGGACACAAGATGCCGAGTTTGCCACGGTGATGTAGATGAGACGCTATTTCATGTGTTATCGGCTTGTCCTATATAGCGCGCTCAGCCTACATTCACCGGCATAACGCCGCTCTAAGAGTGCTGTATTACTACCTTCGGCACTCTATGGAATAGACGAGACACCAGTACTGCCCTATATGCCCGGTGAAATTGAGTCAGTCGTTGAGAACGAGAGAGCAAAAATTCTTTGGAATTACCCGCTCTCTACGCCTCAACGCATTGAACACAATAAGCCGGATATTACTCTTTCCGACCATACCACTAAGCACGTATATTACATTGAGTTCTCAGCTCCGGCTGAGACGAATATATGTGTAAAAGAAGAGATTAAACAGGAACGCTACAGAGAGCTCATGGAGGTCATGAGAAATGTCTATCACGAATACACAGCGCACGTGATAGTCCTGGTGATTGGCGCCCTCAGAGAGATGAGGAACCGCTTTCTGACAGAGCTTTATGTGGTACAGAAAATAGACAGTAAGTCCTATAATTATATCATCTCTAAGTCTTTACGAGAAATAATTTTTTTTCAGCTAATCAAGATACATTACAAAAATCCATTGATGAACCAGAAGAAATGGGTCGAGATAAACTCATCTTAAGTAAGTATTCACAATTTTTCATGGATTAAGTTTCCAAAAATCTGTCAGATTGCAAACAAAATAATTTCTTCTATTACAGGCATGTGTCGTGAGTTACAAGTACATGAGGTGTTCCCATTTAATAACGAGAACGATCCCATTCTTGATGTTAAGGTTTGGGTTTCTAAAAAATTAAAAATGGATCGACATCGTTTCCTTCGATCCCGAAATAACAACGCTTTTTTTGGAAAAGATGGCGAGGATTCAGATCTCATTTCTGATGAAGAATAAATAGTTGTTAAATATGAATCGTGAAAAGTATCGGTTGGGATAAAATATTTTTTTGTATTACTTCTTATCCAACTTATATAATTGACTTATGGGAAGCATAAGCTAACATTATCATTTTCTTTTGAAAGATTTCCTTAAAAAGAAAGGTTACGTTTTAAAGTTAACAATTAGTTGCCTCAAATCCATCAGGGGTGTCTTTAGCAAACTGCTGTAAAATGAATATTTGTCTCGATTTTTATTGGTGTACGCATAGAATTATAAATCGTTATATTTACGAAATTAATTTTTCAGCGACTTTATAAATAATAATTAAAAAAAGTTTGCGTTTTGTGCAAAGAAAGATAGAATATTCCAAATAATGTTCTAATTGTGTGTTCATTTTAAATGCCAGTGCGCTTTTTTTTACTATATATGTGGTCAATTTCCTATTTTATCTTCACTCATTATAGTTGTTGTAAGGTTCATTGGGGTGTTAAGCAATATTGATTGTCAAAAATTCTAGTGCTATACAATGATAACTGGTACTAAGAACTTTTTTAGTTATTTCACGTGTATATTAGTATTGATACGTCTGATGTTTAGGTCATACATTACTGAATTTAATATTAATATTGTAGATGTTTGAGATCAGTTATCGTTGTTACGATGCTTACTTATTTTTGATACTCATATAATTCCAAGGTTTATTTCAGTATTGATAATTTTGTACAGTTCGATAGTACTATCAAGAGATACGGTAGTATCTCGTGCGCCAAGCATAAATCGCCGCCATCAAGCCCTTACGTCACGACGAAGCACTACCGTATCTCTATACAAATTATAAGATGATTTTTGCAGGTTATAATTTTTGAATTTAAAGTTTTTTTCTTATTATAACATAAACATGGGTTGAAATTAAGAATTTGCTCGGAAAGCGATCGTTGAAAATATTGAAAATATTTGGCGTGACTGTTATTTATTAATTGGCTTAAATTATTTTCAATATTTTCACAATTTCATGCTTCTATAAAATCTTAACAGTCACGCCAAGTTTTTTTTGTTATGTTTATTGTGTCATTAAACGTTCTAAATTTTTTTAATTTCATCATTGGGGTTATTTATGTTTGGCGCACATTTTTGTACAGCCCAGAAGAAGGGGGCTGTTTTTAATGAGATTGTTGATATACTAAGTCTGTTATTATAAGGTTTCTTAGGTTATTACGTGATGCTTACTGCCAAAACTTTTAATATTATCTTATGATATCTATAATTAATAATTCTTTTAAGGCGTTTCAAGTGAATACCAAAAGTTCAATGTATGACTGAGTTTAATATTGCAGATTGATATTGCAGATGTTCTAGATCAGTTAACTGTAATAATTTAAATGTGAACTATAATAATAATTATTATCATTTAAGTTATTCATATTTTTATTAATATTGTCTAAAATTCTAAGTTTTTTTTCAATACTAATCATAATTATTGTTAGAATTAACTTTTCTGAATCTTTTTATGTATTTTCCACCGTTATGTATTATTGTGTTTATTTAAATTGTGTTTATGATGCATAATAAAATAAAAATTGATTCAAAGATTGAAAATCATTTTTCAAAAACTGTTATAAATGCCTTTTCTTACTGTCCCTAAATTATAAACGAGAATAATTATTTCAGTGAAGCGATTTATGTAGTAGTTTTACAGATAAAAGGGAAATACTGCTAGATTTTTAATATATTAAGTATTTATACTCAGCGAAATTCATATACATATTAAATGAACTTTATATAAATTTAAAGTTTACCTATAATATATCTAATATATATATATATATATATATATATATATATATATATATATATATATATATATATATATATATATATATATTTATATATATATATATATTGTAACGTTATTTTTCCTCCCCCATAAAAGGGTATACTAAATAAACACCTTCCTTCAGGTGTAAGTCCTGATTAAAACCATCCCTAGGAAACTATTCCCACTTTACCTAGGGCGCCAAGTTATTTTAAATCACCAGAATAACTTAAATGGTATAGCTTAACCTAACACAACTTAGAACTAATCTCAATATCTCAAAACTTAACACTAAATTCTAAAAGTACTCAACAAAATCTCAAAACTTACTAACTAACCGCAAAAATAACTCAACAAATACTCGAAGTATCTCAACTTGATTCTAATTCCCAAAACTTAATTCCAACTTAACTACGATGGTTTTCTATCATCAGGACCCTCCTGAACAGGGTATAACCCGGCTCTTAGTTGTGTAGGTTGTGGAGAGGGGTCGTGTCCGGTCAACAAACACTAAAGAAAAATAAAAGATACTAAATAAAATAAGGATGACTTGAGTTGAAGGTTCTAGAACGCTACAGAAAATTATTTCAACAAAGAACTATATTTTTACTCCAATTTTTATTTCCCACAACTCAAACTCTACTATATTAACAATTATTCAATGGTCTCTCAAATACCTTTTACAAAGTCTAACTTCACAAAACTCTTCTGGATCTGGACCCACTCTTAATAACTTAACTTAAAACAATAAAAATCTTTTTTCTAATAAACAATACTGATAATCTTAACTCAAAGTATTATCTCTGTAACGCAGCTATAATTTCTTCTCAACTAATCTAACTCAAAATTCTTCCTCCTTAATAAAGCTAACTTCTTACTCCATAAATTCTAACTCAAAATAATACTCAATAACACAAAATATTTTCTCAATAAAATAAATCAAAGCATAATTATTTAACTAAACAAATCAGACTTAACTAAATTACACTTAAGACTACGAGTACGAGAGCAAACCAAACCTCACGGATTCCTTTTATTCCATCTTTCAATTCCTTTTAACTATAAAATTTACCTTTAAGTTCCTCAAATACAAACTCATCTCAATAACTTACAGTTTTAGCAGAGCTCTAGATGTTAATAGTTTTACTGAACCTGGTCCTAGTTGTTCTGGACCTCCTTTCACAGGAGCAGTACTTCTCCTGTGTTCTAGCTTGCTGACTGAACCTTTACTGGATTTTCATCTTCTCAAACTCTAGTCTTGGCTTGATCTTGACTGCCTTCAAATTCGGCTTCCTCTCGACTCTCTTGCAAAAATCTCAATCCAAAATTCTCAATCTTTATTCTTCCATTCTCTTGTTCTTCTTTTCCCTTCCAGGGTCTAATTCTTTTCAAATTATCGAGGCACATTTCGCATTGGTGGTTATCTTCACGTGACTTCTCCCAGATTTTCATGTGGAAAGGTCACTCAATTCTAAGGTGCACCAAAAACTTAATTCTAAACTCAAAAACTTATCTTCTAGACTCAACAACTTAATTCTAAGACCACATCCACACTTCCATCTTCTCCTTGGAGTCCCATTTCACTGGCGACAGCCCCGTGACTACAACCTTTAGGGCTGGAACGTCTCCCAGCATGGGAAAACTGTAGGGTGACTCGTTCGTTTGGTCTTCTTCTCCACTACAGCCTCCCAACTCTCCTCACAACGGTCCATATTTCTTGATAACTTTACTTTTTTAGGTTCTACCTACTCCCTTGTTATTGAGATTTTTAACACTACCTATTTTGATTTTAACCCAAATCCCTCAGCCTTAGTTTGCGCAACAAAAATAATAATCAATAATAATAGCGACTGATAACAATAATAAATTGTATTAATAATAAAACTTCCTCACAACTAATTCAAATAGAATGACTAAAAATATAGCTTATCCTAATAAAAATAGAAATATTTAATTAATTAAATAATTATTCACTAAAAAGAAAGTATAATTGACTAAAATATTCAACAAAATAGCTCATGTGAGCTCTGACTATGTAAATTATTTAAATTATTTTATTTACTTTGGACTAAAAAGTCCCTAGAACATCCTTGAGTTGGCTAAACTGAGCCTTAAATACTGTAAATGGGACGTTATCCCAAAAATAACGTCACAATATATACGTACGTACACACATGCATCATTCTAAAAATTGGTCAGTATGCTTGCAAATATCATGAAACGTGGAGATATGATGAAAATTTTTATTTCACCAATCGACCCAATTTCAATAACTTCTAAATGGAAAGTTAATTAGTATAAAAAACTGACAGATTTTCAGGAGAAATGTAAAAGGCACTATTTTTTAACCAGTGATTTTTATAATCCATTTGTAAATACCAGACTTGTGAAAAATACCTTCTCGAAAATATTCAAATACAAATACTCTTACTTTATAGAGTATTTAAATTCAAATACAAATACTTTCAAATTTTTTAAAAAATTGACAATATTTAAATAGAAACAAAAATACTTAGCTTGGGATTTTTTATTGGAAAACATATTCACATTATTATAATTATTATAACAATTTTCTGAACAATTTATCCATAATTATATATTCTGTTTAAGAGTATTTGAGTAGATTATTTTAAATACTTTTACTAAAATTCTTTACAAGTGCGGTAAATGCGGAAGCAAACCACTATAACACTGCTCCAAAGTCAGATATTTTGTGCATGTATGTGGTATGACTTATTTTTCATCCAGGATTATAATGTAATACGATCCAATTTAAAGCATAAAAAAGGTATTTTATTAAAAATGTTTCCAATGTAAAAAAATCCATAGTTTTCTTAATTATTATATTTCGATTTTGCATTTAAAAATATATATCATTTTATTCCTACATTTTTATAAATCTTGCATAAATAGTTAATCTTATTTATTTATGTAACCCTATATTCTAATATATAATATAAATATTTTCATGGTTTCTATATAAATGAGAAATCCATCAAGTGTCATGTTCAATATTGAAGAGTCAATTTTTTGATGTAAAATATTTAATATATTAGTAAACTGATATATACACATGTTTTACTTTTTTGATTAACTATATGTAATTTATTAACAAGCTTTTATAATTATAAATATTCATATTAAAAAAAAATAATTTTTACTCGATGCAGTTTTTAATATCTTATCCCAAAATGAATCGAAAAAAGTTCATTAAAAAATTTAATCTATTATGAATACTGTAAATCGAATTTACGCTTAACTTATATATCATATTAGTAAGCAATTTTTATCTTATGACCTACTATTAACAGAAAATAAAACATTTATATCATTTTATCAATACCATTACTATCCTATAAGTTATTTTTAAACAATTCAATTACCAAAATTATTTCAACCTCGCTCATAAACTAATTCAATACATAGATAATTATGTTAAATTATTCTGTCTAAATACTATAATTATTTGCAAACTATCAATTTAAACTAAAACGAGAAATTATATAATATTAGTTGATTTAAAAAAAGTGAGATACTCTTTATTATAATATTTTATTATGATATTAATTAAATTGATGTAATATTTAAAAAAAAATAAAAAACTTATAATAAAATATTTTTTTATAGAAAAGCTCAACGAATAATTATTTACGACTAGATTTTATTACACATTATACATGGTATTTGAATTTTTATTAAGTTTATCTTAAACATTAATAACTCAGTGTGGTTCATATTTTTATAATAAAACTACATCAGTCTAATAAAATGGTACACTTGCCTGTTAGTAATTTATCGCGAAATAATATTTTTATGAATGAATCTCAGCATCACTGAAGTGAACATACTTTAGAAGTTCCATATGAATCATCCATCGCTGCAGCACGTCTTTTAATTCCCTCTAAATAAACTTCACGATTAAACGTTCCCGCTGCTAAAGGCATTCTAGTGTTGAAAAAAAGAAGAATCGAATAATTTTTTATATTGTTAATCATTTGAAAAGTTGATGAATAAACTTACGTGTCGATACCAGGCCGAACAGTTGTTTTAAAAACTCCCCATACCGGTTTGTGGTCAGATGTACAAATACTAGGAACAGAATCATACACAAGACATTCGATACTTCCATCCTTATGTGAACTAGTACTATCATGACTAATTCGTCTTATATATCCTCTCGTATGACCTTTGCCTTTGAAAAGAATACGATCTGTGTAAGCAGGTGTGCGTTGTTTACTACTTGAATCAAATGTTTGTGTTCCTGGATCATATTTATACGTAGGTGGAAAAGTAATGGGTGCTTCTTCAAAACCTCGAAGTACTGCACCTTCATTTAAAATGGTTCGTAATTGATCTTTTGCAAGAGATATTGGTGTTGGATTTGGAAAAGACGTATCTGATATCCACTGTATCACTTCTTCACGTGGTTGAGATAAACGAAAATTCAAATCACCGCACCAGAAAACACAATCAAAATTTTGTGTTACATCTACATATAAATAAATAAATAGCTCATGATTTAAAATGATCTCATTATTTTATCTCTTAAAGGTATAGTAAGAAAATCATATTGTTCATTCTTGAAATATGTAATTGATCTTAATCTACATCATTCTAACTATTATTGAGTTAATAATAATAAGAATAAAGATGATTTTAAAATTAACATATATCAAGATTACGATAATTAAAAATTTTGAAATTATTGCTTAGTTGTTGAAAAGTTTTTATTAAAAGTTATTCTTTTTATAAATTTTAATAGAAAATGATTTATTACTATGGAAGTAAATAAATATATTAATTATTTAAATCAGTATGATATTAATAAACTGCTAAATATTTGTATTAATATTTAGCAGTTTATTATATACATATAATACTTTTATTATATACATATAATAATGACATTTATAAAAAAATATAATTTAGTTACCTTTACTCTTGTGTTTTATTGGTAATTCTTTTGGTAGATCTAAGTTGCGAACAATTCTCTTTATATCGCTAATACGTTCCTTGACTTTATCCTGATGAGCGGTCAAATGTGCAGTAACAAATAAAAAACTAGTACCAAACAAAATCAATGCTAATGCCACAGCACCTTTAGTTCTAAAAGCTGTACCGGGTCTTGTTGAAAAACTATCTTCTTCCGGAACGGAACAAAACCAAATTAAATCTCGTCGAATAAATAATGCTAAGTGCAGAGTCCCAAGACTTGTACTTGTTAATAATACATGAGATGGACCTAAAGTTTCTTGAAGTGCAGCCTCCCATTCATTCCGTTCTGAACATGACTCCTGAGTACCAATAGCTAATATATCAGGTATCGTATGAATTTCTGCTGGCAACATAAAATCATTCAATTCTTTTGGTGGAGTTTGACCATTCATATTCCATGTACCAATAAAAATTTTTATTTCACGATTTGGTAATACTTTTTCAAGTTCTGCAGAACCCAAAAGAGAATTAGCAGCAATCCGACCATGAAGAAAATTTCTATTTATAAAAATAAATAATAAATTAAAATATTAAATTGTAATAATTTTTAGTTATATGCACTTTTATAGCATACCTTTCTCTAGCTTTTTGTACTGGAATTAAATTTAAAACCTGAGCAGCTAAGAGGGACTGTTTGGCTAAATTATCCATCGAAACACCATCTACTTGAATTTCTTGCCGATCTTTTTTTTTAATAATTGCATCATGAGATGAAGAACGTGATTTCACATTAATTGGCGCACTCTTTGGTAATTCTGGACTGTAGTGTGGTACTGATCTTGATGAACATTTAGCCGTTAAATTGTCTACTGATCTTCTATGTAACAATTTGTGCTTCATTTGAGTAGACATACAAGGAGAAGTAGAGTCAGATGATGAATGATCGCCTGGAAAAGATGAACCTTTATTTGCCTTTTATTTCAAGACAAAATTATTTTGATAATTCTTGTTAATTATCAGACAATTAATTTGAAAAGTTACATTCAGTTTAAATATAAAATATAATGTAAGAATCAAAATTTTTAGTCTCATAGTTTAATTGATTTTCGTATAATCATCTGACAAGACCAAATTCAATAAAATTAATGAAATTTTGAAGTTATTTGCTTATTCAAAAATATAATTGATCAATCATTCAAATTATCTAATTCACATGATTACGAATTCAAATAATATAATGTATTCGTTTTAACTAGGTCAAAACTACCATGAACTCATCAGATGACTTGATTGCATTTGTATGAATTATGTCATCCATAAAATTCTAGCAATGTAGACCAAAATGTATGATAGAGTAGGAAATACTGTAAGAATATTTTATTAAATGAATGATTCTCATCTTTTTTCATTATTCCAACAACCATAAATATTAATGATGTCATTTTGTAATGACACATCTACTACAAGATTATAAGTACAGACTGAATAAAAATTCTTCGATGTAATACGAATAATAAATAATTATTTATATTTTTTGTATTATTCTAATACAATATATGATTACCTTTTATTTTTGATTTCTCATTAAGTTCATGATAGTGAATATATCCATAAATTTCTTCTTGAGGATTATACCATCTTCTTTCCATTTCCAAAAAGAAATATGTTATGTATTTTCCTGTTGTATAATATAACTCTCTAAAATCAATTTCTACATCACTCTCTTCTTCATTTAAACTCAAATTACTTGAATACTTTATATCAGATGCATCACTATCAGAACTATCATGATTATGTTTATTGTCTTTAATATTTGATTGGTTTGATATTTCTGAAATCAAATTCAACTGATTCTCTAATTTTTTAATGACTTCTTTAGAATTAATTTTGTTATTTCCATGATGCTTTTCTTCTAAAAATTGTTTTTTAGCTTTTAAATGAATATCTGAACCCGATTTGTGAGCAGTTATGTCTTTACTTCGTGGTGGCCTCAAGGGTATTTCATCTTTATCATGTATTCCACAAGTAATATTTTTGTTAGAGCAACTTTCAAATGTACTTTCATTCTTTAGTTCCATTTGTTTGACAGTCATTTCTTTTTTATTGTCGTTTTTAGGTAATAATTTTTCAGTACCAATTAATAAACTGTCTGAAATATCAAATGTTTGTACATGTCCTTTATTTGGTTGATCGACAATTTCTTTTGCTTCTTCTAATTTCGACGTTGAGGATTCAGAAGTTTTATTATAAGAGCTTGGATCATTTGTTTTACCTGATGTTAACTTGTATTCACAATTGTCACCACTGTCAGAAGAGTCAGCACTTTTACTATCACTTTTTGAACTTCTACCACTGAAAGCTTTTGACATTTTACGTAAAAATGATTTTTTCTTAGGTGTTCTTATATAATTTGTTTCAGACATTTTTATTATTATTTTTTTTTCCAATATTGATATATTATTAGATGAAAAGCGTACAGTGAATTAAGTTTAAAGTTACTGTAAACTTTACGTAGGGCGTTCTGCCGAAGAGCATCAGAGTATATCTGTACAATTACATTCTTGTCTTATATATATGCTATATTTCTATACCGTTCCTACACACCCATTTTTATGTGAACGATCAAAGATACGCATTGATGGAGCTGCGGTAGGGAGTGGAAATCACCGAGGTCAGGTTTCTCTACCCATTAATTTATGTGAAAGATTTTAAAATTTTGTATTTACTACGATGCAATGATATTAATATTATATTACGATTAATTTAAATCAATAATAGTAAATAGTCTTTATATAAATTGATTTAATTCTTATATTCACCAAATTTTTATATTTTACCTAATGCCTATGCAGAAGTATCAAGTTGAAGAATTTATAATCCGCCGAAATGGAATGAAAACATTTTTCATTATTTTCAAGATAAACTGAGTTAATTTTTAATTTATAAAAAAAAAAAAAATGATACTAAAACTATTTGTTCATACAGTGAAAACTGTATGATTAGAAATTTTGTAGTACTGACAGACGTCATTTATTGTAATATATTATATTATTGTAAAAATAATTTTATTAGTTTCTTCTTTAATATCCAAGATTTCATTTATGTATTTAAACTTGATTTGATTTTTGGCTTATTTATAATAATTTTTAAAAAATTTATAAAACCGGCTTATTACAGCTAAATTTTAATTGTAGAAAAATACGATAACAAGTTAATAAATTAAGAATATTTAATTGAAATTCATGAATAAGTAGAATGTAAATAAAATCTTTATAGATAGTATTATAATGATAAAGATATAGAGAACTTTTATTTAAATTGTAAACATGCATATATTTGGACGTTCAACAATTATTTGATTTTCAATGTACACTAATAAAAATTACATAATCAATGAATGTTGAAAAAGAAAAACAAATTTTATTGAGTAGAAAGTAGCCTTTTAAAATGAAAAATACTTTACAATGCAAGATAATGAAATATTTTCAGTATTTCGGCTTATAATAACAACAATTAACAACAATTTATAAGATAAAATGAGTAATCTGATCTAAACCAATATAGCAGTGTGTGAGACCTTTTTCATAATTGTCTAATAATTTCAATGTATGAGCGGGAAATAATTGGCCAATAATACCTAATAAGACTCTATTGATATCTGGCAAGACAAAGTAAATGACTGATAATGAGAGAAATTATCATAATTTAATTAAAAAAAAAATTTCGAGTTGTTCTTAATAATTAAACATTCAGGGAGTGAAGGTAATTAAATAAGAATAAAAGCTGAAGATAATACTTGCCAAGAATATAAAAATCTAAATAGTGTAACTATAAGGATAAAGCATGATAAAAAAACTTAAATATTTAAAATTATTCAGAAATATATATTTTGTATTTAAATTTTTTATCGTTATAATATTAAAATATTTTCTTTACTAATAAAGAATAATAAAATTGTAATAAAAGTAATAAATTAAATGTGAAATTATTATTTATCTATTATTTTAAAAAACCTACCTTCTTTATAAATACTGGATCGTTGCTCTTGTATAATGGATATATTACTTTTTTTCAAATATCCATCATGATTACACTTATTTTCTAATTCAGATGAAATTTCTCCTGATTTTGTATCAATAGTTGCATTATTTTTACAATTACCATTTACAGAAGTTATCTCGGATTTGACTGAATTATAACTCGAGGTAGAAGATAGTCGACTTACGGACAAACTTTGAGGTGGTGTTCGACTTCTCTCAGTCATTGCACAACAAAGTGATAATTTAGTACTGGTTGAACTATGCTGAGAAGTTTCAATTTTGGAATGTTTTTGAGGTTCACTATTTTTATAAGATACTTCTAAACACCCAACTCGTGTTTTTTTATGCATAAGTAATTGACAAAGAGATTTTTTTTTTTGTCTCGATCGTGGTGATATATCAGCTTTTACAATATCGTTTGAATCATTCTGCTCCATAGTATTAGATAAGTTTATTTTCAATGTCTCTTTAATGTAAAACACTAATATTTACAATTTATATAATTGTACATATTTCATCAGTTGATAAAAATTCACTAAGATGAAATATTTTACCAGTCTAAAAGAATCAGATTAACTGTAACATTTAAACCTTTTATCTAAATTAATTATAAAGCATTTGTCTAATTAATGTAAACAATCTCAGAGAATATCAATTCCATAGCAGCATTATTTAAAGTATTCATCATATTTTTATCTTTTCAATTTACAAATATTTTTTTAACTATGAATTGACATTAATGTGAAATTTTATTCATTTAAATGTCTAGATGACCAGATTATATAGACATCAAAATCAATGTAATATAGGTTATAATTTAAACAATGTAGCACAATACCGTTATAATACGTAATATTATACTTTTAAATATACTGAACAGAATGAGTGAGCTTCAAATGGTCTACGTCTTTTTAACACCTCAACATTGATCTTTTTCACCTTGATAGCTATTACAGACATATCGTATACTTCATCAAATACAAATATTTAACCATCTATGGTCCTTATTGCAACCTTTTCTGCATTTTTTTCATTACTCTAGGTCAGTTTTTCTCTAATTTACTATTATCATTTTTTTCTGTCATTTTATTAAATTTTGATATTGTTGTTCACATGACATTCGCGTCATACATATTACTTTTCACACTGTTATGGTAACATAGGCAGTAGTAACGCTCTCCTTTCTCCAAAAATTGATACTTTGAACATTATGGGTGCTCAATGACCTTGAACTGATTTTTATTTCCCTTGATAACATTTTAATTCAGCAAAATGTCACCATTGTGGAATGTTAATTAAAATTTTCAACGATTATACTGGTTTAGTGAGGAAATTAAACTATTTTTTCTATAGGTATACAGGGTGAATGCGTACTTTTTCCGAATCTGGCTACTGTAGGTGTAGAATGAAGTTCTAAGTATTTTGAATATAGAAATTTAGGTAAACGAAATTCGCGATTTCGTATAATTCGCAAATAAGGATTTATAACAACGGTTCGGTGCACATGAGAATTTTCGCCATGAGCGATCATCACGACACCTAAAACTGTCAATAATGAGAATTGGAGTTAAGGGGGTCGGCGACATTCTGCCAAGGATGCCATATGATGGCCCGGGTGCCATATAGATTCAGGAAAGACATTAACGACAGCTACATTTCTAATTCTAGAAATCTTGTATCCGTCCCCAATAAGATGTCAGTCAAAGGCATTTTTACAATCTTTTAAATTTAAATCTTTAAATGTATAATCTTACTGATTGTTAATCAAATTCTATGATGCCCAGATTTTTTATCTAATGATCATTTTAAAAATAAGCTTTATTCTTTTAATCTTTTAAAATTGGTTTTTTTTATTTTCAATCATTTAATATTCAATCAAATTATAAAAATTTTTCTTTTTTTAATGTTTATCATTTCGTTGAACAGTCAACTTAAGAAATTAGGACTGGTAAGTTATCTTGCGTCGGTATAGTAGAAAAAAAAATTCAACTAGTGTCACTGTTTTCTAATAGATGACAGTAATCACACTGTTTTCAATCAAAAATTAAAAATGCTTATATGATTTTAAATTTTGAATTGTTTAATAGCAACTTTACTTACCAAGAATAAATATTAGATTGATCTTCTTGAAATGGAGCATAATTTTCTTCAAAACCAATTACTTATATCGATATTTTTCATCGTTAGAGATATACCACATCAAGTTATATTGAGTTAATTTCTTTACAATATCAATTACACAATTCAAAATAATAAAAAAATACTTTACTTTTAAATTGAATTTTTCTTCAATATATTTCCTTTTTTTGTTTCATCAATCATTTAAGTTACTGAATTACTTGCTATTTCTTCAGTTAGTTTGTGTTTTAATTGACTATCAGTAAGACAGTCTTCTAGTATTATCGTAATTATAAATAAAATAAAATATATTATTTGTATCATTAATTTACGCTTAGTTTAACTTTTCTAATAAAGTTAGTTTCTTCCATCGTGTAATTAAATTTTTTAAACAGGTTTTTTTTCAATATAATTTTTATTTCAAACTCTTTTTTCATTAATGACATATTTTTTAAAAAACAAAATAAATTTTCACACAAATAAATTATATATTAAAGAGAAATAAAATTAAGATCATATTAAATTTTTATTATTACTCAATTTAGTTCACATGACAATTAGTTTTAACACAAAAAAGTAATTTTTTGGGTAAATATTAAAACACATTTAATATATATATTTATACATATTCATAATTCTAAATTGAATTAAATTTCATTTTTCAGATCGATTAATAAACATAATTTGTGACAGTGACATTGAATATTGTAGAATAATGAATGAAACTACACGACAAAATCATTCTCGAGCAATTCAACATACAATTGACTTGTACATTAATAATTTACAAGAGTCCTTGAGAAATGGAAGGTACTTATATAATTTGTTAATTTATTCAATCATTTTATATTAAATTTAAAGAATTTGTTATAATATCAATTTATATATAGGATGACATTGTCAGAATATTTGTAGGCAGTAGTTGAACGCACAAATATTCGACGGGAGCTGAGACAACGTGGCTCATAATTTGGAAGTGTAGAAAACCAAAGTTAGAGAGATACCAGCAAATGTAAACTTTCTTAAATATAAATAAAAGTTATACTTATAACTTCAGGAATGATTTTTGAATTCTTTAATTGACCCTGATTATTTTATTTTAAAATAATTGAATTAAGTAGTGATTTATATTAAAATTTATTAATAAATTTATATTCATATTATATTTATATTTAAATTCAGTTAAATTAAGGTATTCATTAAAAATACTGATTTATTTTTATAAAAACTTAAGTAATAAAACTTTTTTTTTTCGTTGCACGAAAATCGTTTATGTTTATTAAAGAAGAGAATAATACTGACAGACATTATTTTTGAAGTTTTTCAACTTTTTAATAATTCAGTTTTCAAATTTTTTTCACTTGGATTACGTTATTACGCTAACATTAAGATGAAAATGTTATTATCATTAGATTATAAGCCTAAATATACTTATTTATGTAGTGGGAATTACATGACATTACATGAGCCAGAAAGAAGACTTTTTTTTGTATAAGCATTTTTAATTTTTGATTGAAAACAGTGTAATTACTGTCATCTATTAGAAAACAGTGACACTAGTTGAATTTTTTTCTACTATACCGACGCAAGATAACTTACCAGTCCTAATTTCTTAATGACGCCGAGTGTACTATCTTGAAAATAGTTCTGCTTTTTACCAATAGATGTCTTCATAGGGTATAGGAATGTAGATTTATAGGAAATCTAACTAAAGAGTGGGAGAACAATTGTTTAAACAAAATAGTAATGTTTATTCAATTTAAACGATACAACTTATTAATCCTTAATTAACTTTTAAATTATTCATTAAACCATAGCTGCACTGACAGAAAAAATGTGATAGCTAGAAAGTATACTAGCGGCAAACACAAAATATACTCAATTTGAGTATAATTATTTTTTGATGCAAGTACATTTTATGGGTGCCTCAGAATGCCCCGAATGCAATAAGTGCTGATGATGATAAAATGTACTAAAATCTAATTCCCTAGAGTTCAAATAATGAAATATAAATTAGAAAATGGCCCGTTTGCTATAATATTTTTTGTTAATCACTAAGAAAAGTAATAAGTTTTGATTCGTACAAATTTCATGGTATTTACATAATTGTATCGAAGAAAATTTTGAAGAACAAACTATTTGAGATAATTTCTCATAAATAAAATATTTTTGTGAAAATGGTTTATTTGATCCACACTGTAGACACTAGCGTCCTCTGAGAATCTACTGTCGATAAAATAGTTCACGTAAGATACATGATACAAAGAATAGTTCAAAACTAAAAGTGCATTCAAACGACAAGGAAAATTATGTCAGTGCAGTGGATGCAGTCTCATATTAGTTAATGTTGTGCTAAAATTCGACCAAGACCGAGTTAAATGGATTATATATTTATATATTTATTTTTACAAAATTTTTTCAATCAGTAGGAATTTCTTTATTAATATTTTTTTTACAAAAAACTTAAAAATTAAATGATATGAAAAACATGAGTAATAAAAAAAGAGCATTTTTTCAACTTTTGCTTTAAATTTGAAATTAATAAACAAAATAAAAATTAAATAAATCATTATTCTTTGAACTTTCAATCCAAACTTCCATGAATGAAAAAAAGGAGTTGATAAACTTTCATTTAGAATTATCAATTTCTTGCTTCAAACTACTAGCATCTTCATCGTCTTCTGTACCATTAACATCACCTTCTTTTTTATTAGCTTTTTAAAATTACTAATTACTTAAAATAAAGTATAGTACATGTCGAACTCTTGAAATACCTCTAAATGACTGAAATCTTCTAAATTTTGTACTGAATATTGTTTCTCGAATTTAAAATTTGAATCGAGTTTAGAAAAACAAAACAGGAATTAAATATTAACTGAATCATTTCAACTGAAGATAAAATAAAAATTATCATGGAATAATCGGTCAAGTTTAAATTTCCTCAGCTTCCCTAGGGTGACCCCGACAAACTGGGCATGTTATCCTTTCTTCTTCTGCTTCTGCTAAGGCTACAATAATTTCATAACAGTTTCTACATAAAACTGCATGTCCACATGGCCGGAATCTATAAAATGGGTCCCTTTCAGCACACGCTAAACAGATATCATCAGCTCCGAACCTGGGTGCTGAAATATGAAAAAAGTTTATTACCGATGAATTTGATACAATATACTTGCAATAGATAAGAAACAGTACCAGTAATTGAGAAGTAGAGAAGATGAACAGCATAAAGAATGAAAATTTCAAAAGAAAAGGTTCCATTACTGAAACTAAATTTAGGAAAGTTTCTTAGAAATTATTATTCACATGAAAATGAAGATTTTCAATCATTTTGTTTGAAACTCTTACCATTTTCGGGACGATGATTTGGCACATCGTGTAAAATTATTTCGTTGAAATTTCTATCATTTTCAATGAATCGTACCTCTGGTAAATTATGATTTAAGTGAACTAGTGTCACTAACTCAAAATCTGAATCAACTGTCACTTGATTAAATATTAAATCTTGAAAATATTCATCAATTAAGTTTGAAGAGACTGCTAAAAATGCGTTCCTGTCTATAAAATGTCCATTAAATAACGTCCACAATCTTCTTAATTTACTTCTTGAAGGATATATCTTTACACGAGCAGCAGCAACATAATTATTATCTTCTTCCAAACGATTTAAATCCTTGTGCATAGAGTTGAACCATTTTAATAATACTTTGCAAAGGTTCCAAATATTAAAATTATTATTCAGGTGTGATTGTGTTTTTTTCCAATTTTTATGAGAAACTTGACAAAATAAATCAAAGTTTTGATAAAATGAGTAATTATTTGTTCCAACAGTATTGATCCACATTTGGCCATAATATTTAATGAATTCTTCAAAATTAGAGTCTTTCATTTTAATCGGAAGATTATATGATAATTCAACAAAAGCAGGATAAATTTGATCGCTTGGTAACCAGCTCAAACAAATAAATTTTTTCAGCAATATTTGATGATCTCTATTATTAATTTCAAAACCTTCAATGTTTTTTGCACGGGTCAAAAGTATCTGTAATATAAATTCACGTTGTTCCTTTTTTTTTTTATAATAATTCAAAAACCTAATAAGTTATATAAACTTACCAGACAATATGATGTAAACAAACCGTGGATGTTGACATTATCAAAAGTTGTTGAAATTGAGTGGTACAGATTTTGATTGAAATTATAATAAACTGTATCGATATTGATATTTGATTCTATTAGTTTATCATGAATGTTTTCAGCAATAACTTCATATATTGAAGTATTGTTATTGTTAATCAAATTCCATATTATTGGAAAACTCTGTAAATATAAAAATTGAAGAAAATGTATATTAATTTATGAGACATTATAAAACTATGTTATTGAATTAAATGTTACAAAAAACATACATAGTTTCGATGAGGTAAAATCCAGGTCATGATTGTAGAAATACCCATATCAGGTGTAACCAGAACTTGGTTAGTATCAACATATAAATCGAGCAGCTCATTATTTCTTGCTCCTATTTTTCGTATTAAACTATTATCAGTAATGACAGCTGCCTTTTTATCACGATGATTTACAGCAGTATTACAAAAATTAATTGTCAAGGATCCTCTCTCATACATCAATAAATTTTCATATGTTTGTAATTGTAAAAGAGCTCTGAATATTGACAGCGATTGAGGTTCAGGCAAATGATGGTCTCGTTGCCACCGATTCATATTATTCTTAACAGTGTGGAATGGCACTAATCCAGATGCATCTGGATGTCTGTAAAAGTTACATATTATTTAACTTAAAATTTCAATGTAAAATAAAGTAGATGAATTATTGACTTGTATGATCTATTGATCGTTATTATGGTGATTATTTATTTCTTTAATTTGCAGATATTCTTCAATTAGTTATCATGACTCAATAAAACTAAATTATCCAAAATTTTCATTTCTATACTATTTCAATAATGTAAAAAGAAATTTAAATTAATGTTTTTTATTGTTGTAGAGCTCTATGTACAATGTTCGAGCTATCATAATTATATTAATATCATAAAAAAGTGTGTCAAAATTTACTTACCTAATTGAAACTGCACGATAAATCGTCCGAGTATTTGTGAGTCGTCTCCTGCATTCTTCTTGTAATTCATCACGAAAGTTTTGTGTTAACACCAAATTATTGCGCCTAGGATGATTATGTTCTTTTAAAAGTTGAAAGACATTATTGACAATTTTACCTTGTCCCCTGCAAAAAAATTCTCGATATAATTGACATCGCAGCAATCTGAAAAGAGAGTAATTATAATCAATGATAATAAAATTATAAGCACACATTTCCAAGAATATACAATAAAAAGTAAACAAACTTATATTAATTTGCATTCTCAACTATCGTTTGAAAAGAAATAAATTTTCGTTCGGTTTTCTAAGAATTGTTTTGAAAAGAGTGCTACCAAAATGTAAAGATAAAATGTACATACAAATGAAGAACAACATGTAAACAACAATAAGTTGAGAATCTGTTTCTCTCTCACTCTGATGTAATATCCAGTAGAAACTGAATTCAAGTATAACATGCAATAATATATCGCGTTTCAAATTTAAATAATTTTTTGTTTTAATTGACAATACTCATTAATAGATAATAATTAGTTTTACATAAATATACTTACGTTGCATTGCCCACTTCTCGATATCGATGATAAGAATGTCCGTCAAATATTCTGTGCTCACGGTGGTGAATGATTGGTAAGGCCATGTTTACATAAATGTTCACGTAAATAATTAGAAAAGTTCAAAATATAAAATTATTTTCAAGAAATGTAGAGATTGATTCAGTTTGAAAATGAAGAAAGATACTATCGGCACTAGTCACGTTGAGAACATACGCATGCGTTTATACTGCCGGAGCACTACGAATGTTCTCGAGGTATAAAAGGACCGGCAATGTGTTGCCCGAATATTACCGATTTTTACCGAAGTTCAAATTCTATAACAAATTCGCGAATCTTCGATATTGCTCGGTTATATTCGATTAATGAAGATTAATAATACATGTGTGAGTTCTAAAATAATTAGACAATCATTTTCACGGTATTTCAAAGTGATTAATATGCAGTGTTTATCATTTCATCATGGACCAGGAGTCTCGGATCGAAGAAAATTAGAAAGCCAAATTTTTGATGGTTATTGTTATCATTTCTCTAAAAAAGTAAAGAATACATCGTAAGAACCAACTTCATTATTAATAAATCAAATTTTTTACAATGTTTATGCAATCACATTCGTATACATATGAATATACAGGTAGATCCTTATTCTTATGCAATAATATACTTCTTATAGATATCTGGTTTGTATCCAAAAAGATTCAAATTATTGTAAAGGTTCCGGAAAAATTATTGATGGTCGTTTTAATTCTCTCCACAAGCACAATCATCCAAAAAATCATTTATCAGAAAGAATGTACAATTTTGAAAAGGATTTACGGAATGAGGTTATTACGGATAGATTTAAATCAATTAAAATGATTTACAATGAATTAAGTTTAAAGTGAGTATATTCTTCTTCCTAAATATTGTTGAGTAATTTTTTTAACATTTTGTTATATACATTTCATTTTCACGTAATATGCCATGATCTTTAGGTATCCTGAAGTAGTCATGATAAAAACTTGGCTGGAAATGGAGCCGCGAATGCGTAAATGGCGTGAAGAGGTTCAACCACCAATACCTCTCATGTTAGAAGAATATCAAATGATTTTAGATGATCCTCAGTGGGCATTTTTATTCTCTAACAATGGTGACATAAATAAAATGCACGTCTCAACGATTAAAAGCACCGATGGCTCATGTATCACTATATACGGCAATGTTGAATTATTAAAATTAATCAATCCTCTGCATCTTATGATGGATGCAACATTTTCAGTAGTACCGAGAAAGCCAAAAGCTCATCAACTTTTTACTATTTTAGCTATAGTAAATAATACCGTACGTAAAATTAATTTCTTAATTATTTTGTTCAAGTAATCGTGTTATGAAAATTGAAATAATTCATGTTTCAAATTGCAGGCGATACCAATTTTGTGGAGCCTAATGGAAAAAAAAACTGCCTCGGCGTACACAAAGTTATTGAATTACTTTTCAACTATCCTTTCACCTCAAATACAGCCTACATTTATTACATCAGATTTTGAGGTCGCTTTAGCACTTGCAATACATTCAAATTTTCCTGAAGCTACACATTCAAGATGCTTTTTCCACTATACTCAGGTATAGTATACATGAGAATAAAGATAAATTAATTTGTTGATATACTAATTGTTTATTGTGATTCAACAGGCCATTACAAAACGGTTAAAGAAATTAAGATTGCTTCCTTTCCTTCAACAGTGTCGGATGGCGAGAGTCATCATGAAGAAATTTATAGCATTACCTCTATTGCCACCTGAAGATATGAGAGAAGCTTACGACTGGCTATTACAGAATATTCCTGAGTGTATGAAGAGTATTTTTCATAAATTCCTTACATATTATGACCGCCAATGGGTTCAATTAACACGGGCAGAGTGTTTGAGCGTATTTAAAATGGTACATCGAACAAACAACTTTTCCGAAGCATACAATCGACTTCTTACACTTCTATTTGGTGAACATCCTTCAATATGGAAATTTACAGGTGTGTATAAAATAATTAAGCTAATACACACACGGACAATTATTTTTACAAGTATTTTTTAACTGATGATTTTATTTCAGCACATATAAATAATTTGCAACAGAATGCGTTATTGGAGTACAAAAGTATTGTAACGGGACATTTTACTCGAAAGTTTATGAAAGCTACAAATATTATTCGCAATGAGAAGCTAGTTTCATTGTGGGACATGTATCAAATCCGAATGCTAACTATACCTCAATTCCTATCTTGTGCGAGTTACGATTTAAAAGCTTTTTCTCATTATGAAAAAATTGAGGTACTGCAACCACCCGTATCACTGTTTGTTTATAATAAACAAAATAACACTTGTAAGTTTTTAAAAATTTATGTATATGTATGTAGATATTTTTGGACTTGTAATGTTTTTTTGTTGGATCTGGTAAAAACATGTATCAAATTTTTTTATTGATTTACTATTTAATTTTTACGTATGTATTAACTTTCCATTTGGAGAGTTGTTTATTCACCTTATTCATTGTTTTTAACATTTATTATAATAAAAATGCTTATGTATAAATTAAGACGTAAACCTACAGTTGTAGAAAATTATTTCTATTTTAGTTATAATAATTCATGATTCATTCTAGTCTGAAAATTTTTACAGATCCTTTGCAAGATCATTAAAGTCCTGATTAACATACAAGTATTAAAAAAAGTGTACATATTTTAACTTTAAATAATTTTTTCAGTACAAAATTTAGAAGATTTCAGTCATTTAGAGGTATTTCAAGAGTTCGACATGTACTATACTTTATTTTAAGTAATTAGTAATTTTAAAAAGCTAATAAAAAAGAAGGTGATGTTAATGGTACAGAAGACGATGAAGATGCTAGTAGTTTGAAGCAAGAAATTGATAATTCTAAATGAAAGTTTATCAACTCCTTTTTTTCATTCATGGAAGTTTGGATTGAAAGTTCAAAGAATAATGATTTATTTAATTTTTATTTTGTTTATTAATTTCAAATTTAAAGCAAAAGTTGAAAAAATGCTCTTTTTTTATTACTCATGTTTTTCATATCATTTAATTTTTAAGTTTTTTGTAAAAAAAATATTAATAAAGAAATTCCTACTGATTGAAAAAATTTTGTAAAAATAAATATATAAATATATAATCCATTTAACTCGGTCTTGGTCGAATTTTAGCACAACATTAACTAATATGAGACTGCATCCACTGCACTGACATAATTTTCCTTGTCGTTTGAATGCACTTTTAGTTTTGAACTATTCTTTGTATCATGTATCTTACGTGAACTATTTTATCGACAGTAGATTCTCAGAGGACGCTAGTGTCTACAGTGTGGATCAAATAAACCATTTTCACAAAAATATTTTATTTATGAGAAATTATCTCAAATAGTTTGTTCTTCAAAATTTTCTTCGATACAATTATGTAAATACCATGAAATTTGTACGAATCAAAACTTATTACTTTTCTTAGTGATTAACAAAAAATATTATAGCAAACGGGCCATTTTCTAATTTATATTTCATTATTTGAACTCTAGGGAATTAGATTTTAGTACATTTTATCATCATCAGCACTTATTGCATTCGGGGCATTCTGAGGCACCCCATTTTATATCAAAATGAAGTTTAAAGTGTACTGTACAATCATAATAACATTAACTTGATTTTAAATTTTTCATCACTCAATCCTAATATAATATTAATTTATACCAAGAATAGCGATTACTGCATTTTTGTAAATATTTTGCTTATCTCAAGTAGGTAGATAATAAAAGAGGATTACAAAGTTTACTTCAGTTGATAATATAGTTTTCTTACACTGAGGATCTTCCTTACTTACCACAAGTGTATTTTATACGGAGATCCCGTATAAAGCGTACTTATGCTAAGTATAATGCTGTTTTACACTTCAAAAACCATGTTCTCACATTATGAATCCTTTTTTATTAATAAGAAAATACTTGTTACTTGATTCAAGTATGTCAATTCTTTACTGCAAGTATATTATATACTTAAATTAAGTATACGAAGTACTCATGCTAAAATTTTTTTCTTATTAAATTTAAAAATTTCAAAATATAAATAATCATATTAATAATAAAAAAGTTACTGTTATACCCATTGGTATTGGTCAATTTAAATTAGTGACCATTACTGATGAAGTAATTTAATGATTAAATATTCAGTAATTAATAAATAGATGAAAAGTAATCTTATAATAATTACAACAATTACTGTTGTACTTTTAAATACGTGGAGCTGCTACACTTACACTGGGCCTGTTAAAAGTCTAACTCGTAATATAGCGCTCAGAGATAAATTATTGATTATAGAATCTTTAATAATAATTAATAATTAATTGCATGTCTATTAATTAATTCTAAAAATGAATCGAAATTTTACAGTGATTGGAACGATTATTGTGGTACATTTCAATACCTCAAGCTGCTGCAGTAAGACATGTTAGGAGCTTTAGGAGTTTATCTTTCAATCCAGCGTTCAGCTATAAATGGCTTAATGTTAAATCTTTAATAATCATAATAAAATTATTTAATGTTCATTGATTAATTTAGAGAAAGAATCATAATTGAATGATAATAACAACAAATTGGTGTTGTGCTTTTAAAAACTCCAAGTTGCTCCCGTTAGACTATGCCTGTAGAGTGTTTATTTTCCAACTTAGCGTTCAGAAATAAATTATTCGATATAATACCTTTGATGATGATAAATAAATGATTGATTGTATAATCATTAATTCATAGAGATAATCATAATTTTTTCATAAGTGCAACAAATATTGTTGCATATTTCAATATCTCGAGCTGCTGCCCAGTGTAAGTGTAGCAGCTCCACGTATTTAAAAGTACAACAGTAATTGTTGTAATTATTATAAGATTACTTTTCATCAATGGGTATAACAGTAACTTTTTTATTATTAATATGATTATTTATATTTTGAAATTTTTAAATTTAATAAGAAAAAAATTTTAGCATGAGTACTTCGTATACTTAATTTAAGTATATAATATACTTGCAGTGAAGAATTGACATACTTGAATCAAGTAACAAGTATTTTCTTATTTATAAAAAAGGATTCATAATGTGAGAACATGGTTTTTGAAGTGTAAAACAGCATTATACTTAGCATAAGTACGCTTTATACGGGATCTCCGTATAAAATACACTTGTGGTAAGTAAGGAAGATCCTCAGTGTAAGAAAACTATATTATCAACTGAAGTAAACTTTGTAATCTTCTTTTATTATCTACCTACTTGAGATAAGCAAAATATTTACAAAAATGCAGTAATCGCTATTCTTGGTATAAATTAATATTATATTAGGATTGAGTGATGAAAAATTTAAAATCAAGTTAATGTTATTATGATTGTACAGTACACTTTAAACTTCATTTTGATATAAAATGTACTTGCATCAAAAAATAATTATACTCAAATTGAGTATATTTTGTGTTTGCCGCTGCTGCCAACTGCCAACTGCCAAGGCCGGCACAATTGCGCCTCTGTCGGTTGACAGCAGAAGTTGGTGCAATGCAGCCACAGGAAAATCGTATTTATAACCTTAAAAAAAACTAGACAATATTTATATTGCATAGTGTCTGCCTACACATTTGCAGTAGCTACAAGATCTTATGATTGTTAAATTTTATGTTATAATCTTTTTTAAAATTTTTTAAAATTCATTCTGTTCTGTGTTTTTTTGAAATATTGGTTTTCGAAGCACGCTCAAACATTGTTCAATTATACAATGGAAGTGGATCCTTCCTTAAACAATCATGAATTGGATTTCTTCGATGATGATACAGATTTAGATACGTATATTAAAAAGAAAAAATCCTTCTCTACAAACTCCACGCTGGTAAGTTATTATGGAATTAATATCTTCATCTTATATTAAAAAAAAAAAATTTATGCATGGCCTTATATCTAATTGTTAACAAATAATTTTGTATTTGTATCACATTAAAGTAGATTTTTTATGAAAGTATTTAGTACTGTTAATAACATAATTTGTCATATTTAAAATACACATATAACTGAGCGCATTCTGTAATACGTATTGTTTGTAGTTTGAGGGATCTCGATATGAAAATAAAGGAGGTACATTCACTACTGGAATAAATATCTTCAGTAAAGAAGAGCAAAAAAAAATGGAAGAAAGAGCTAAACGTTTTGGCCTTAAAAATACTCAAAAATTAATTGATGTTGAAGACGAGAAAGAATTATATTCAAGTATGGGCGTATTTGATGACAATGAAAATACAAAATATATTAGATTGAATGTATTACACATGCGGGGAACTGATGAAATGAGCACGCAAGATGTATTTAATTATTTTAAAGATTATGCACCAGCATCTATTGAATGGATTAACGATATGTCGTGTAACGTCGTTTGGTTGGACAATATATCAGCAGCAAGAGCATTAATAGGATTATCAAAAAAAATAGTTGGATTAAATGACAAAATCGAAATTGGAACTAATAAAATAGAAATTAATGATTCAAATGAAGATGACGAAAAAAATACAATAAATTTAAGAAATATAGATTTTCCTTTACCTCCAGGAATTTGGAGAAAAGGCGTAAATTGTGATAAGTCACAAAAAATACTTCTCAGATTTGCTATTAATTCAGACAAGAAACAACCAAATGCAGAAAAATTAAGTGAATATTATAAAAAATACGGTAATCCAAATTTTGGTGGAATGCGAGGTATTTTAACAGATTCAAGAAAAAGATTGTATCGTGATATAAAAAATAAACAAAAACCGTCTGATAAAATAATTGAAGATAGCGAAATTGATTCTAAAAACCCTTGGGGATCTCTTTCTGAAGCTTGGGGGACTAATGATTCAGTCGAAAAGGATTTTATAAATCAGTCACAAACAAAAGATTCACGAAAGATGGCAATGAAACAAATTGGAATTAAAAGAAGACTTGGAGTTAAATCAAAAAATAAAACGGTTGATGATAACTTTACAAGTAGTGACACTAATTCTGATAGTGATGATGAATGGGGTAAAAGAACTAAAGTATTAAGAATGAGAATGCATGCAGACGATGAAGAAGAGAAAGTACAGAAAAGAAAATTAAAACAATTAACAATGAGAATGGAGGAAAAAATATCTAATTGTGATTTGAGATCAAGATTACAGCGAATGAATTCTATAGTTTATAAAGAACCCATCAAAGTAACTGTTACAAATAGTCCTGAGACACTACGAATAGAAACAGAAAATGAAAATGTTGAAAAAAACCACATTGAAGATCTCATTGATAATAATATTAAAGACAAAGAAGAAGGAGAATGGGAAAACAATGAAGAAGACATGGAAAACAATGAAAATTATTCAGATCAAATGGAAGAAAAGGTCGACAATGAAGAAGATAATTCAGATTGCGATAGTGATATTTCTGAGAAAGAAGTTCAAGGACCTAAAGGAAGTGTTATAAAAGTTGTTCAACGTGCAAAACCACGAGTTGCTTCTACAGTTTGGGCACGATTAAATCATTCAGAGAATTCACACACTAAAGAATGGTAGAATTTTTTTTTATTTATCAAATTAATTATAACAATATTTTTAACAAAAAATCAAATACTTTTTTTTAAATCTAAAAGAGTATCTTATAAAATTACTTGTTGGTTTATTGAAATTATCAACAAAATTAATTTTTTACAAAAAATTCATCAAATATAAAATATTCTAAAAACATTAAAAATCTCAATGAATCACATTAACGCCTAGATTTATAATCGGCTAATAATATGTAATAATTGATATAGTAACATTTTTTGAATGACATAAATATTATATAAAATAATTTTATTATGATTATTTCAGGGAGCATTCCGGAAATGCAGTTTCATCAGGAGATTTAAGATCAAGATTAAGTCATAACAGAGAACGATCGCCGTTAAGAATAGAAGTTCGCAATGATAAATATACAAAAAAAAACAGTAAATCAAAATAATATATAAATTATATTATTTTAATAATAGATATTATTACATCATAATTTTTTTTAATATTCGATTTTAAAGAAAAAAAAATTTTAGGTACAAATATAATAAAAAAGAAATATTGATCATACTTGAAGATCATTAAAGCGCCACAAGTATTTGTGTTAGTACCATAATATATATATAAATGAGGAAAAACTTTGTCTAGAGATCATAAACAGATAAACGTATAAAATTCAAGAAAAACTATGAAAAAATTATATCTAAATCATTCACTTGCCGGAAATAAAAAATTTTTCATCTGTATTTACTATCATTCAAATGGAATATGGAAACGATTATTATCATCTGGTATTTAGTACATGAGAACTTCATTTATTTATTTATCTATAATTATTGAGATTTTATCTTATTTTTATAAATAATAAATAACACATGAGCGTTAGAGAAACTTCAATAATTGATATGACATTGAGACGATTTTCAACATATATTTTTTTTAAATACAACAACCAGGAACACATACACATTATTTTATTTTTTATTAAAAATCAGATTAAGAAAAAGGAATTACTGAATTTTTAATTACAATAGAACCATAATATTTGAATAATTGTATTTAATTGTTGCTGGAATTTTTATTCTTTTACTGAATTAATATTTTCTGCATTTTTCTAAATTTTATCTTATAAAATAAATAAATTGTACTCAAAGACAAATAGACCAATTACATGTAAATATTTTTATACATAATTTTAAAAGGACGTAAAAATAATTATAATATAAATTATTTCCTTTTACTTAATAACGTTTATAATATTTTCGGAATAATTTTTTTTCAAGACATCTTAAATATATATAAATATAAATGAGGTAAAACTTATGTCATTCAGTAATTAAGGACGAACAAGTAGATGGAATTTGAAAAAGGAATTGAGGGAAAAAATTATGCTATTATTTTGACAAAAGAATTTTTAACATTTCATTTTCTATATGTCAGCTATCCTCATCTTGTTATTTTTCGATAACAATTATGGCACAAAAATATTTACTTGTATTTTTTTATTGCTTAAATTTTACATATCAATTTATTCGTCCAAAATTATTCCGCAAAGTTTTTCCTTATTAAATATACACATTATCACTTGATAAATTTCATTAATACGATTATTTATATACTAGAAACATTGAAAAATAAAATTTTTTTTTTTGTTATTTTTGTGCCATGCATAATATCTCCTTACTCATACTATTGATTTATTTTAATTGATTTTTATTTGATATTGCCTCAATTTTTTTCAATTTTCAATTTCATGTATTAACAACGCATCAACATGTAAAAAAAATATTTATATCGAAAAAAATGATAATTTTAATAATAATTAGATTATATAAACTCGAAATTTCATTGTGTTTGATTGTGAGTTAAAAGATGACTGAAGAATTTTATTTATTACAAGAAATTTCCTTCTTCTATGTGTAGAATACTTGTGTAGAATAAACTTATCCGTTTATTATAAATAATATTCAGACACTATCAAAAAATATTGGTTAAAGTAAATTAACTATAAAGATGATTGAAAAACATTAAATTTAAACGTAATTGTAATAATTTTGTTGGTACTGATTTACATATTTCATTTTTTGTAATACTTTTTTGTATGGTTTTTCTTTTCTCGCTTATATTTATATTTTTGCCTATATCTGAAATTGATATCAATTTAATTTTTTTTCTTATTTATTTACAACTTCAAAGAAGGAAAAAGTTAGTTTGATAGCTGCGTATTAATTCCAATTAAAAAAAATATATTTTACAAAGATAATATAATATTTTTTCTTATCAACTTTTTTAACTTTTCTAAACTCAATAAATTTATTATTTTAAAATGAATTATAATGATAATAATTTCAATTGATCTATTCTTCACTTTTCAATCAAATCAAAGACCATTTTTATTAATGTATCTTTTTATCAAATGTCCATTGGTTTTGTATTTAAAAAAAAGAAAAAAGAAAATGATTGCAAAGAGAAATTACATTTTTTAAGAAATAATTTTCAAAACAGTTCAAAATAAAACATACTTTCTCAAATAAAATGCTATGAATAAATAAATAAAATATGTATCACAAAGAATTTAATTAATGAAAATAAATTATTTCTTTATTTCACTGCTATATCCTTAACTATTAATCAAAATTCGGAATATTTTTATTGAAAAATTTAACATCGTAATAGTATAGAAAAATGAATTAAAAACTAATGGTAACAAATAACTTTTATGTTAAAAACTCAGAAATATTCCATTGTAAAAATTTCTCAGTTAAATGAGCATGGAATTTTTTGCACTGAATGAAGAAAGTGATCGTACGAAGACTAATTGTAATTTTTTTTTTTCATTTACAATAAAATATATGATTCTTTTATAATTACCATTTATGCATTTTTTTGTCAATAAAGAAAATAACATTTTGAAGGTGTGCAAAAAAAATTCTTGTTTGAGATATTTTTTCAAATTCAGATATGATTTCTTTACATCAACAAATACACATAGATAAAGTTAAAACTATTAAGTATATTAGGCCTGATAATATCGATAATGTTTTTAATTCATTTATTTTTTTGGAATATTCTTTAAATAATTTTTATTTCCTGTTCATATAAGGTAAGATTATCACACTTGAATCATATAAATAATGCGTTTAAGAATGATTAGCAACATAAATATTTGAAATAACTCAAATGCCATATACCACTGTCATTATTGATTATTATCCTGACATTTTCACTGTTCTATTGCTCATAATGACGTGCCGACCACGTTAATTATTTCACACTATAGTCATATACGGTAAAATGACGGTATGAAAAAAATATTAAATTATTCATAATTTCATTTATTTACATTCTCATGATTTCATTTCATTTTTGTGCTATTTCTTTTTTTAAACATTTTAAAAGCTTTCTAATTAAGATAAATTAAGATTGTTTATCATACAAATTAATCATTTCATTCAATAGTAATAATATTAATAGTTATTTATCAAATAATATAACAGAAACGAAATTGGTTGTTTATTCGATAGTAGCCGCATAAAAAAAGTATAAGAAAAAAATAATATAAATGAATTCCTAGCAGGACATAAATGTGATCGGCTAACCATTATATTATAGTGTAAAACAATCTTACTGAGCCCAAACTAATCCTCTACATGCTTGATTGATTTAACTCAAAAGCAGCACAATTCACTGTCTATAACCACATATATTCCATTAATTCTTTGCAAGATTAACACTTCAATCAACTACATAGCACTTTCCGGATTATTACTCTTTGCAAATTGTGCAGTTTCTTCAAAAATATACTCCTTAAGAACCTCTTTAGGAAGATCATCAAGTTCCATATCAAATCTAAATGGTTCTTCTGCGACAGGCTAAAATCGAATTGCACAAAAAAATTAGTAGTATTATTTTATAATAATATCATTTAGTAAAAATGTTTTAAAATTGAAATACTGTATTTTTTGAAATTACCTCGTCAGCAGGATCATAATACTGTTCAAGGTAGGGATGTGCGAGAGCATCTTCAACGACAATACGTTTATTGGGATTAAATGTGAGCATTTTATCAAGTAAATCTAAAGCCCGTGGATCAGCATTAGGAAATAGACAGTTCCACGGTACTTTAGGTTTATATGGCAATGATTGGAGGTAATTGCGCGCCTGCAAAAGAATTTGGTTTAAAAAAATAAATATTTGAAATAATAAATAACTCAAATAATAGTGTAATAAAATGGAAGACAAAAAATTTTCCATGCGTAAATTCATATAAATACTTTCAATTATAACAAAATTGAGAACATCATTGTTTTAATCTTTTATTATATAGTAGTATAATGAAAAATAGCATGTTTACTTTAAGCCATTTAAAAATAATAATTTGAAAGATAATGCAAAAATTACCTTTTCGTTAATAATACATTCGAGATCCTCAGAGGAAGGTGAGCCTAAAATGCCAAGAATATGATTCAGCTGGTCTAAATAGTGTTTACCAGGAAAGATAGCACGACGTGAAAACATTTCAGCGAGTATACAGCCAACTGACCAAATATCAATAGATTTAGTGTATCCTTTGGAATTCAACATGATCTCCGGTGCACGATACCATCGTGTAGCAACGTATTCTGTGAGAAAGCCGGCATGGTTGTGATCTGGATCTGCCACTCTTGCTAATCCGAAGTCACATATTTTAAGGTCACACGTGGTATTTAAAAGTAAATTACTAGGTTTTAAATCCCTATGGAGTACATTAGCAGAATGTATATATTTCAATCCACGTAATATTTGATAGAGGAAGTAACAAATATGATCATTGCTAATAGCTTGTGACTTCAATAATTTGTATAAGTCAGTTTCCATCAAACATTGGACTATGTATACGTCTTTCATTTGATCTATTGTTGGAGCTCTGATTATGTCTCTTATATCTATAATATTTTCATGTTTAAACCTTGTAAGAATTTTAATTTCCCTCAATGTTCTCTGACTGTACGTTTGATGCTCGAACGGAGAAATTTTTTTGATCGCTACTTTTGTTTTCGTTACGTTGTCATAAGCAGATCTGAATCAAGGAAATGTTATGGTAATAGAAAAATTTTTTAACGACATCGTTACACGATATAAGATATGTTTGACATTTGAATTAACCTACAAATATCTTTTTTTGAATATTTCAAAAAGCAATTTGTTTCAAATTATTATTAAATCATAATATTTAAAAAAATTAGTTTCTTTTTTATTTATATTTAATATTAAAATTAAAAAAATTTATAGTTTATTATTGTGAGCGAAAAATCAATTTCAAATAAATATCAATGGAAAAACTTATAGAATCAACGTTATTATTGATTATTACAATATTATAAGCAATATTGACAGACATAGATAATTAAACTTTAATTCTCAAGTACTTGATTGTTTATTTCATTTTGTTACACAGCAAATATGAATGATTTTATCATAATAAAATTCATTTAGAAAATAATTTTAAATAAATTCATCACTTACACGACCATACCATAAGCACCTTCACCCATATAGGCGAGATTAGTATATCTTGGACCAACTTCAAACACTTGTCCCCGTACAACTTCTGCAATTGGATTTACACTTGCCAAACCCTCGCTCGCCATTTTGACAACTATGAATGTAAGAGAATAGTAGTGTAAATTCAAAAGAAAGTCAAAATTTATTTTTCAGCTCGATTTGACAAATATTAAAAAGAATTATAAATAAAATTAACATAGAAATATATGTTAAGAAGATTTTTATTTTCACAATAAATGTTAATCAAAAAGTAGTAAAAATGGCTTAATTTGCACCAAGTTTTTCACTATTCCTAATTGCCACGACACCTACAACTGTCAAAAAACCAGTTTGAACTAAAGCCAAAGATGTATTCTTAGGGTGTTTTCAATTCTCCTATTGTCCTAGGGACGGCGAACTTACGCAAGAACTAGAAAAGTTTTTTTTTGTTGTCAGATTGATCATTGCTTTACTGATTACTATGACTATATACAATTGACGAGAAGACTGCTTTACCGGAAAATTATGTACCGGATATGGGGTATCTTATTTAGTTTAATATTTCAACGCAATGAGTGCTGTAATGTTTTATATTTTCCAACAGTGATTTCTCTCTATTAATTACGGTAGTTGTGTAATGTAGGTGTGAATTGCTAGTGTGTCATTGACATGACGATTTATTATTATTATTTGCATTCTTGTGGCACGACTACGGTTTCGTTTTCGAGATATCGAGGTTCAAAGTTTCAAATTTCGAAACACGTATTTTATAGGATATCTTAATAATTTTACATTATTAATCATTTGTAGCGATGGAAATAAAAGAATTTTTTTGTATTTTTCAATGAATATGAATAAATAAGCGTTAAAAACAATTTTTTTGACCGTTTTTTTTAAAATTTTTTTAATATTTTCATATTGTGCAACAGATAATATAATCATTGATTAGAATAAGATTCTCACGCCATCTAACAGAAAAAATTAATACTACGGACGATGTCACGAAATCTTTTGGCGGAAAAATTAATTTAAATCGATCTACTAACAATCTCTAGCGGCGAAATAATTGATTGATTATTTATTTGTATCAGTTTCCATTGTTCTTCGGTATCGTTCGTTTTGTCGATTTTCTTTCTGCTGTTCTTCTTTTCTACAAGTTTCCAAAATGTCAGGTATGCATCCAGAATTACATAGTAAATTAGAAAATTTTTAATTCTTTCATTCTTTTGGAGAACTTGTTACAACAAATGAATTAGCAATTTCTTTTCTCGAAGAAATCGGCTTAATTCCGTCGCGTCAATCGACACCACCGACATGTTGTAATCTCCCAATGCTCGTTGAGGATTTTGGAGACAAAAAACTCAAATGGGTATGGAGGTGTTCTTCAAAAGGATCAAAGAAGAGAAGAGATAAATCGTGCCGAAAAATTATAAACCCAGCGTCTGGTACGTTTTTCGAAGGAAATACGTGTCGCATCGAAGTACGCGATGTACTTGCAATCGTCATTTGTTTCGCGATTCAGATGCAAGTCACTGATGTGTATAATCATCTCAAAGCTTGGCGTAATCATCGAGATAGCCCCGAGCTTAGTTGGAATACTGTAATTGATTACTTCAGTTATTGCCGAGAAATAGCTGAAGTAATCGCATCACACAGTGATTTGGTACTTGGTGGCGAAGGTAAAACGGTCCAAATTGATGAAACATTTTTGACTAAAAGAAAATACAATCGGGGCCGTGTTACCGAGCAAATGACTACAACCGTTCTTGGTTTATATTGCAAGGAAGACAAAGTTGGGTTATTTTTAAAAGTAAATGGAAAAAGCAAGAAGGAATTGTGGCCGTACATACAAAAGTATGTAGATTCATCAACATCCCGAATATGTACAGACAGCGCAAAACAGTATGAAGGAGTTGAACGAATGTTCGCTCATAGTACTGTTCATTTGCGAACAAATCATAGTATCGGTGAATATGTTAATAAATCAAATCCGGCAAATACCATCAATGATTTGGAGAACCAAAATAAATTGTTAAAAAAATCGATTAAATGTCGTAGAACCCCAAAACTTCTACACCAATATATGGCTCTCTATTTTTATAGAAAGTCATATTTGGATAAGTATAAGGGAGATCTGGGTTCCCAAATCATGCAATTCCTTCTTGATATTAAAAAAGTATATCCGGGAGTAGTGAAAGGAAACTTGGAGAAAGGAATAACAATTAAAGAAATTGATCCACCATGTTTCACATCATCTCAAGAAGAGAAATTTTTACCACCGGCAAAAAAAATGAGATTAGAAGATGGTTCGGATGACGAAGAGGACGATATTGAGAGAGCAGTAGAAAGAGACTCTGATCCAGAATACGATGGTGAGGATGTCTTTTGAGACTAATTAGTCTCAACACAACAGGAGAGGTTTGGAGTCATAAAATACTTCGGAAGTGACGAGCCGAGGGGTCCCCTTCTGTTGTGTATAAAGTGCGATTAGACAATACCTTCCCGTGGTGCACTTCGAGTGTAAAAAGCCTATAAAATTTAGCTTTTTATACGTATGTGTCGTTTTTCTACACTACGCGACATAAATGGTGTCTCAATTTGGCATAGAAGGTTATAGGGAAATCGTATGTATAACCTTCAAAAAATTAAACAGCAGCATTTATGTCTGGTACTGTAGGACAAGGGACAGCGAACTTACGCAAGAACTAGAAAAGTTTTTTTTTGTTGTCAGATTGATCATTGCTTTACTGATTACTATGACTATATACAATTGACGAGAAGACTGCTTTACCGGAAAATTATGTACCGGATATGGGGTATCTTATTTAGTTTAATATTTCAACGCAATGAGTGCTGTAATGTTTTATATTTTCCAACAGTGATTTCTCTCTATTAATTACGGTAGTTGTGTATTGTAGGTGTGAATTGCTAGTGTGTCATTGACATGACGATTTATTATTATTATTTGTATTCTTGTGATTACAGTAGAGGCTTTGTTTTTATTTTGAAAATGTCATTATATTAAAAATACTATTTTTATTCAACATAATAAAACATTTAGTTGTAGAAATATTAATATTAAGTGTAATATATACATAGTTTAATCTAGTAATCAAAACACAGTGTAATATCAATAATTTGAGGTTATCAAGCCGGTAAAATATTTTTAATAAAAGTTTGTGAAAAATATACATATTAATATTGAGTGAGAGTAAACAAATTGGTGAAAAATTTTCTTTCTTTTTTTAGAATGCTGGTATGTGGTCTGAGGCAATACGTATTTGTAGAGAGTACTTACCAAGTCAAGAAGCAGCTTTACGTCGTGAGTTAACACAAAAAAGCATTGGAAATGATAGCACACAAACTCTGAAAGAAGCTGGACGTTGGTTAAAAGTTGGTGAAATCCGTACAGCATTAGATATTTTAATTTCAGATACATCTCATTCAGTTCTTATACAAACAGCTGACATTGTGTTTAATCAATCTGATCCAGATACCGCTTCACAAGTTGCTACAGAATTAGGAGCTAAATTAGCTAGTCATGAAGAACATGCTTTAGCGGCACAAGTTTATCTTATGCCTCAAGATAATAGCATGAAACTCCATAAATGTAAATGTATTAGTGAATGTGCTTTCTTTGGCAACAACAAAAATAGCCTCAGATTTTTAAAATTAACTTATCATGATTTGCAAGATGGTATAAGCATTACAGCTTACAGGATCAATACGTCAGGCAAAGAAGAAGGTTTTGGTCAGTCTATTTTACACTACGGTCAATTAGTATTTCATGCTTCTCCATATAATTTTCAGGATGTATTTAGCTGTATGGTAACAGCTAAATTTACACATGTACTTCAAAAAGATGTATTTCGAGCTCTTTGTAAATTATCTATAAAACCTCTACCAGATGGAACACCTGATCCCAAGTAAGAATGTTTTTAGTCGTTTAACTAGTTAATGAAATTAATAAATTTATCTTTCATTTATCATTTTTACTTTTCAGATCACATGAATTAAGATCTAAAATATTATCGTTACAATTACTATTAGGCATTTTACAAAATGCTGGACCAATCTTACGATCAAATGAAATGTTTGTTATTGCAATTATACTATACTTGTATGTTGCATTATTTAAAAATTGTGTATCATCTGTTCCAGGAGTATTTGAATTATCTTCGGCATTGTTCCTTGCGTTATTAGCAAAACCTAAAATACATTTAAAGATGCAAATAGAAGTATTTTTTAAAGAAATATTTATGAATATATTAGAAACGTAGTTCAAGTGGTTCATTTGAACATAAATGGATGGTGATTCATGCATTAACTCGTATTTGTGGAGATGCTAAAAGTGTTGTAGATATATACGTAAATTATGATTGTGACTTTTCGGCTGCTAATTTATTTGAACGACTTGTTAATGATTTATCGAAAATAGCACAAGGTCGTCTCAATGGAGTAGAGACTTTTATGTCAATCCTGGTACTCCTATTGATCAACAATTGTCTACAGAACCTCTAGATCCACTGCTCGATCCATCATTACCAAGATATGGAAATGCTGGAAGTCTTTCTTCTGTTAATTCTAGTCTTATAGGCAGCAAAAAATTCACAGATTCACCAGAACAATTTGAAGTTCAAAAACAACAAAAAGAAGTATGGGAAGCAGATATAGAAATGTTTAATAGAAATCCTAGTAAGGGGATACAATGTCTTCAAGAACAAGGTTTACTTGGGAATTCTCCTGATGACGTTGCACGTTTCCTTCACAATGATGAATGATTAGATAAAACAGCGATTGGAGATTTCTTAGGAGATCACAATCCTAATCAAGTTATGTACAACTATATTGATTAAATGGATTTTGCTAATAGAGATTTAGTTACAGCTCTTAGATATTTTCTTGAAGGTTTCCAAATTCCTGGTAAAGCTCAAAAAATAGACCGATTAATGGAAAAATTTACTAGTAGATATTGTAAATGTAATCCGAAGATAGTAAAAATACTCTCAAATCTTATATTTCACATTACAACAAATGGAAATATTTTCAATCTGTTGTTTTTAGTAATGGACTATTCACCAGTGCCAATACTGCCTATGTTTTGGGATTCTCAATAATTATGTTAACTACAGATTTGCATTCCCCTCAAGTAAAAAATAAAATGACTAAAGAGCAATATATCAAAGTAAATCGACATATTAGTGATAATGAAGAATTACCCGAAGAATATCTATCAAAAATTTATGATGAAATTGCTGGCAATGAAATGAAAATGAATTCACATCCAAATCGGCCTGGTAAACAAGGTAAATTATCTAGGTTATAACTAATTAATTGTATTGCCTGATAATTTATGAATTTACATGACAATTGCAGTTATATCAAGTGAAAAAAAGCGACGATTATTGTGGAATATGGAAATGGAATGAATATCAACAGCTGCAAAAAATTTAATGGATTCCGTTAATCACGTTCAAGCTCATTTGGAATAATTAAGATTTCAAATCCTTATTAACCGTAATTGCTCTAATGTATCTTTTAATCATTTATATAACAATAATAATTGTTTCAAGGTAAATTCTAATAAATGATTTATAAACTCTTCATTGCAGTTCTAATATCATATTTCAATAGACTTAAATATTCTGTTCAATTTTTATGATATTATAATTACTTAATTGTTGATTCGATCATAGAAGTAAATATGGAATGTAACTATACGAACAGCATATTTTTCAATTTAACAATAATATTTTTCATACTTTCTGATACTTAAAAGTGACGGACTTCTCAGCATAAATTTTTGACAATTTTTCTATAAACATTTTTACTTTTTATTGATTGAACATGAATTCATTTAAGAGATTAAAACAATATAATAATATAATAAATATGATAATTTATTAAAGGAAACAATACTTGAATGCTTAAACCTAAATTATTAACAAAGATATGTACGCATTTTTTACACTACAACTTTCAATGTGATATCTTAAATAATTTAAATTCAAATAAAAATAATAATATTTAAATATATAATATACACATACGTCGGTAATGTTTATAAAAAAATATCACATATAACGATTATAAATTTGCACTTTTTGGTTCGCTCTCGATGATATTTATAGAGATATTATTGACCTATTTATTTTATATACAGTACAGAACGGAACAAATGGACGAATCATCTACTAATGATAAGCCGCTCACCGATTACTATAATTTATTACTACATTATATTACTATTATTACTATAACATATTAATTTTCACTATTATTCGTAAGTATGAAATTGTCTATTTAATCACATTAGTTTCCCAATATTCCCACGAATCAACCGAATTATTCCCCGAAAAATATTTCTCCAAATTCATTAACTACAATTAGTATTTAATTTCCACCTAAAGCTCGACTAAGCATGACAATGAATAATACTCTATATTTGTGTTAAGTCGTTGCTTGTAAAATTTAATTGTCTTTTATTTCATTTGATTTTGTGAGGCATTACGCGTTATCCTCTCTATTTTGTTTTCCCGGCTAGAACCATTCTTAACATAAGAGCAGCTAGTAATTTATCCAGTGGATCCATGAATCCTCTTTGAATCCATTTCGGAATTGTTGTTCGTGCATAAGAAAATCCTAATTTTTGTAAAATGTAGTCTATTCCGTAAGGCTCAATACTTTTTCCAGCCCATGAAAGTAATCTATTAAACAAAGTTAATATCAAAATTCCAACTGTTATTCATGTTTGATTTTCTATTTGTTGGTTTTTTAATACATACCTCACGGTCGGTTCTAAATGCCATGTTTTGCATCTATATGATCGCTAATCTTTAATAAACATTTCGGCTGGATCGAATTGTTTTCGTTTTTTCTCTTCTTCAGAGATAGAGATTGAAGGAATTGACGTAGTATTCGATGCTGGACATTTATTTGTACTCTGTTTTTCCTGAGGATCGGGGCTATTGGTTCGCAAGCCTCCTGCATGCTAAAAAAGAATTAACAATTCAATCAGATGAAATCAAATAACGTTCATTTCTAATAATGAATAATTCAGTGATAATGAACTTACTACTTTTTCCTTCTCATTGACGTAAGAAGTGATGAGATCATGTAAAGAGAAAAATGCTTCAGCATACACGGCAACAAATATGTGATCTTCAAATTCAGTAATGAAACTGTATTTCACGAGCGGCTTCTCACCTAATAAAATTTATATAAAAATTGTATAATAGCAGAATTTTAATAAACATTGAATTGTATAGGTCTATAATATAATTATTGATATCAAAACAAAATTAATCAGGCTGTCAAACAAATTTGGATCTAATATTCATGCAGTTTAAATAGAACAACTGGGATAAGAGTAACTTTAACTCCACTATCTACACTATATAATTTTTTTTTATTGAAAAAGAGAAAGAGAATTGCAGTGTACTATAAAGATTTCTACTAAAGTAGCACTATGAGAGGAGAGGAAATACTAGACTGGTAGACCACATTAAGGAGATTGCATAAATAAATTAAATTAATTTTTAATGACGAAGAAAAAAATAAATTCCAGTATCAGCGATAATAATTTTTTTAGTAATAAATACACAATAATACAAACGAATAATAACAAAATATAATTCAAGGCGCTTGCATGAATCTCCAGATTTATGAAAACCGGATAAATTGTTCGAAGATACCACATATATGATAGAAATGATTATAATACTTGGAGTAATTAGGTGATAATTTATATGTACTTATTACGTCTGGTGTTTTCGCTGTTTGTAAATGCTCAGTTTTTAAGTGTAACTGCAATGAAGGTAAAACAAAATAAAAATAACTTCTCGTGCATGAGTGTGCTCTTGAAGCTTGATAGAAGCTGACGATGTTCTTCTGCCACGACTGTTCGTATTATTGTCCAGTGGTATCTCTGATCATTCTCTTTCGACACACGGAAACCGGTCAACAGCTAAAAAAATATTATTGAATGAATTGTTTGTTTCTTTTAAAAAAAAAAATATATATTAATTTATTCATACCATCAATTTCACTATTATCAAAAGCATAATGTTAAGCATAACACTTGGTATTTCTTGTGCTTCTGTGGCAAAACTGATGCAAGGCTCTTCAAGAGAAAACAATGTCCAATTTTTACTTGTAAAATTAATTCCGTGGAAACAAGCAAGACTAATATTGCATCCATAAAATTCCATAGTTCCTCCAAGAACAGTGGCATTACTAGGTAAAGAAAATTGTAGAGTGCTAAGCTGTAAACCTGCTACTTGTGCTAAAACTCGTTGCCAATGTCGATGATGTCTAGCATCAGATATAGCTGTTTGATTAAATGTCCGGGGCCCATCATTTGATTTCTTTTTCTGCTGTTTATTTTTAAAACTATTGCTAGAGATAACTCTTTGATTTCGGGGTTGAAGAGAATTAAATACTCGTTTGCTACTTTTGAACTGTTGACCCAAGAATTCACCAAGTTTATAAAACATTTCAAGTAAGTCTACAGTCGTTGATTTACTTATCATAATCTGTAACTGATCCCAACCAAGATCACCATGCATAAAAATAATCGCTGGTCTTCTTGTTGGCATAAAAGCATCATTGTTATTAGTGGTTTGAGTATTAATTTTCCATTCATCTCGCAGAGTAACATCTAAAGAAGATATTCTTGTCATCAAAACGCTCGTGCCCACGTAATCAAGCCGTAACTCCAATGCGAATAATTTTAAACCCAGTGTATGATCTGGCTCAATTCCAGGCTCTTCACGAATATGAATGTATGTATCAATTTTACTTAGCTCTATTGTTCCACCAACAAATCCACTTTTAGCATCTAGACTAGATCCACCTATACCAATTCCAATAAATAAGTTTATATGTCCTGTACTTTCTATTGATAATCTTCCATTTGAACGGAAGTCTTTGGTCATCCAAGCAACATTTCCTATCACATTACCCATATTCATATGAACATTAAGTCGTGTAAAATTAATAGCAAAAAGCACTAATGTTTCTCAAGCAGATTCTCTTTTTTATTTCTGAAGTAGTGACATTTATTTTTTCTGAAGTAAAACTCCATCCTCGCCCAATGTCTTTTAATCGCATTTGTTTTGGCATTTCGCTATCAAAGCTCAGTCTTAATTTATCCCTCTGTGAAGTAGGACTGGGTTCTGGTGCACTTTTGGATAAAATATCTCCAGTCCCATAATGCCTATCGTAATATTTTAAAAGAGAGCTACCTATTGCAGCTTCATCTTGACTGATCGGCTGTAAATTGTCATCACGATCATTAGAATATGAAAAACCCGGGTTTAAATCTCCAAGAAATAGTCTTCGTACGATACTACGATGATACCAGACCTTAAGAAAAGCTAACATTTCAGTTATTCTTCTCATATTATATTTAAATGATGCTGAATCGATGTCAACGATTGTTAATTTTAACTTTTTCTTGTTGTTGAACATGAAATTAATCCAAGAGATTAAAAGAATATAATAATATATGAAAATGAAAATTTTTCGAAAGAAATTATATAAATTGTTCGAAGATACCACATATATGATAGAAATGATGATGAAAAAGAAAGAAAATTTTAGTTAACCAAAACCTCTTTTCTTGTCGGAAGTTTTAAATTTTTGTAGGTTTTTTTATTAACATCCGTATTATTCGATTTTTTTTCCACTAAAATTTCGTAATCGTAAAACGTGCTGTTTTAGATAGACTGGTAAATCACTTTCATTCACCAATATAAATTTTTTACTTTTATTTTTTTGTAGATAAAATCTTCGTAAAAATTTTATTGCCTCTATCGTGTTAGACTCATTAATGATAATAGCGCATTCATAACTTTCTAAATAATCACTTTCTTCAACATGTTTTGTTCTAACATTCTTAATTTGCTCCATAATAGTTTTAATCTCTGCATCTCTTAGTTGTTTAATAGAATTTAAGTTGTTGATATGCTCCAGAATTATATTTCCTGCATTAGAATGATTGAAATTGATATCTTTCACAGCAGTAAAAAAATTTTGTATTTTTTGTTGGCTTTCCCGCGTGACTTTCTTATCTTCTCTACTCCTATAAGTACCATTCTCGATACTTATTTTATAAGCATGTGCAGTTAACAGCACATGCTTTATAGTAGCTGTTTAAAAAAAATTTTAAATATCAGTGCTCTGCAGTGGTCTGGGTGCGACCCGAAAGGTCCACACGACCAACTTCCCAGTGGAAAAAATAAAAAAACAATTTGAATAGAATCCGTTTCCATTTTTTATAACAAATGGAATTGTTATAAACGAAATGAGTCTGTTTTTATTCATTTGATATGGTTAGTTACTTTATTTCAGTAAAAGAAAAAATTGTGCGTTAGAAGAATTCGAATGTACCTCATAGATCCTTTTTTTCATTATTTACAACGAATTTCATTGTTATACACGAAAAAAGTATGTTTTCATTTATGGCATACGGTTGGTAACATTTTTTTAGTAAACGAAAAAATTATGCGTTAAAAGTACTCATATATATAGAAAGGGTCCCTATTTTTATTGTTTATAACAATTTAAAACTTATTATTTAAATATTACTATGATCAATAATCACTTGTTAGTAACAATGTTCAATTGTTATGAACACAATTCCATATTATTGACAATAATTATTGACTATTATAGCGTCTTTAATGCTGTTTTCTCAATCCTGACACGAGTTGAAAATTCTTTCATTGCTGACATTGTTTTTTAAATTTTTTTTTTCGATGAAATATTGTCATCATATATCCATACAAGTATTCCAATCATTTAATATTCATATTTCTGCAATGATCTTGAAATTCCGTCTAAAAAATGGTATAATTTATAAATTGCAGAATTTAGGTAGTCACTATTCTTTCAGTTTTTTGATTCTGCATAAAAAATGGCTGGACCGATTTTGCTGAAAATCCAATCAGTTCTAAGTTACGTAATTACGCGTCGAATGCAGTTGATCCCACGTCGATATCATTTTTTGTTCTCGAGATAATCGAGGCGAAAAATAATTCCGAACGTACGTACGCACATACGTACATACACACACACAGACGTCCACGTAAAAATTATCGTATTCAACTCTGGGGACCTTAAAACGTGGAGATATGTCAAAATTAGCGATTCGCAAAATCGGACCCATTACTATAACTTCCCACTGGGAAGTTAATTAAAATTTTGTCCAACACATAATAATAAATAGTGCATTACATTAATTAATCAACTTACTAATAAATTCAGTCAGATTCGGATTTTTGAGTAGTTGTGTATTTAATCTTTTATGGTATGATTCTATACAATTATTCGTTCGATCATCCAAATTATTTACAGAGAATCTTATGGGTGTTATCTTGTTCAACCAGAATTTTTCAAAATACAATAAAACTTTATCAAAGACGTTACCAAATCCTTGTATACAATTATTTCGTATTATAGATAATTTACAAAGAGCTCGAAATACATCTTTTTGAAGTACATGTGTAAATTTAGCTGTTACCATACAGCTAAATACATCCTGAAAATTATATGGAGAAGCATGAAATACTAATTGACCGTAGTGTAAAATAGACTGACCAAAACCTTCTTCTTTGCCTGACGTATTGATCCTGTAAGCTGTAATGCTTATACCATCTTGCAAATCATGATAAGTTAATTTTAAAAATCTGAGGCTATTTTTGTTGTTGCCAAAGAAAGCACATTCACTAATACATTTACATTTATGGAGTTTCATGCTATTATCTTGAGGCATAAGATAAACTTGTGCCGCTAAAGCATGTTCTTCATGACTAGCTAATTTAGCTCCTAATTCTGTAGCAACTTGTGAAGCGGTATCTGGATCAGATTGATTAAACACAATGTCAGCTGTTTGTATAAGAACTGAATGAGATGTATCTGAAATTAAAATATCTAATGCTGTACGGATTTCACCAACTTTTAACCAACGTCCAGCTTCTTTCAGAGTTTGTGTGCTATCATTTCCAATGCTTTTTTGTGTTAACTCACGACGTAAAGCTGCTTCTTGACTTGGTAAGTACTCTCTACAAATACGTATTGCCTCAGACCACATACCAGCATTCTAAAAAAAGAAAGAAAATTTTTCACCAATTTGTTTACTCTCACTCAATATTAATATGTATATTTTTCACAAACTTTTATTAAAAATATTTTACCGGCTTGATAACCTCAAATTATTGATATTACACTGTGTTTTGATTACTAGATTAAACTATGTATATATTACACTTAATATTAATATTTCTACAACTAAATGTTTTATTATGTTGAATAAAAATAGTATTTTTAATATAATGACATTTTCAAAATAAAAACAAAGCCTCTACACTGACAGAAATTTTTTCCGGTGGCGAATTATAGAATTTACTTGTCCCCAGTATAAAAGTGATAGGTAAAAAAGTTTCGAAAGGCAGGTAAAGAAAGTACCTGGAATCAGTAAAACTTCGTTTTAAAATGAATAAAAAAAATACTGAGTCTAAATACAGAATATACCACTCCTGAGTAGACTACAAGCGGTTGAAGAAGTAATAAGTATACAAGTTTTATGAAAATAAAGTACTTGTATTTAAGTAGTCTTTCTACTTGGAATCAGTATAATGTGAGCCAATGTATTTTGTTTATCTCAAGTAGGTAGATAATAAAAGAAGATTACAAAGTTTACTTCAGTTGATAATATAGTTTTCTTACACTGAGGATCTTCCTTACTTACCACAAGTGTATTTTATACGGAGATCCCGTATAAAGCGTACTTATGCTAAGTATAATGCTGTTTTACACTTCAAAAACCATGTTCTCACATTATGAATCCTTTTTTATTAATAAGAAAATACTTGTTACTTGATTCAAGTATATCAATTCTTCACTGCAAGTATATTATATACTTAAATTAAGTATACGAAGTACTCATGCTAAAATTTTTTTCTTATTAAATTTAAAAATTTCAAAATATAAATAATCATATTAATAATAAAAAAGTTACTGTTATACCCATTGGTATTGGTCAATTTAAATTAGTGACCATTACTGATGAAGTAATTTAATGATTAAATATTCAGTAATTAATAAATAGATGAAAAGTAATCTTATAATAATTACAACAATTACTGTTGTACTTTTGAATACGTGGAGCTGCTACGCTTACACTGGGCCTGTTAAAAGTCTAACTCGTAATATAGCGCTCAGAGATAAATTATTGATTATAGAATCTTTAATAATAATTAATAATTAATTGCATGTCTATTAATTAATTCTAAAAATGAATCGAAATTTTACAGTGATTGGAACGATTATTGTGGTACATTTCAATACCTCAAGCTGCTGCAGTAAGACTTGTTAGGAGCTTTAGGAGTTTATCTTTCAATCCAGCGTTCAGCTATAAATGGCTTAATGTAATAATGACGAAATAATTGTATACAAGGATTTGGTAACGTCTTTGATAAAGTTTTATTGTATTTTGAAAAATTCTGGTTGAACAAGATAACACCCATAAGATTCTCTGTAAATAATTTGGATGATCGAACGAATAATTGTATAGAATCATACCATAAAAGATTAAATACACAACTACTCAAAAATCCGAATCTGACTGAATTTATTAGTAAGTTGATTAATTAATGTAATGCACTATTTATTATTATGTGTTGGACAAAATTTTAATTAACTTCCCAGTGGGAAGTTATAGTAATGGGTCCGATTTTGCGAATCGCTAATTTTGACATATCTCCACGTTTTAAGGTCCCCAGAGTTGAATACGATAATTTTTACGTGGACGTCTGTGTGTGTGTATGTACGTATGTGCGTACGTACGTTCGGAATTATTTTTCGCCTCGATTATCTCGAGAACAAAAAATGATATCGACGTGGGATCAACTGCATTCGACGCGTAATTACGTAACTTAGAACTGATTGGATTTTCAGCAAAATCGGTCCAGCCATTTTTTATGCAGAATCAAAAAACTGAAAGAATAGTGACTACCTAAATTCTGCAATTTATAAATTATACCATTTTTTAGACGGAATTTCAAGATCATTTATAGCTGAACGCTGGATTGAAAGATAAACTCCTAAAGCTCCTAACAAGTCTTACTGCAGCAGCTTGAGGTATTGAAATGTACCACAATAATCGTTCCAATCACTGTAAAATTTCGATTCATTTTTAGAATTAATTAATAGACATGCAATTAATTATTAATTATTATTAAAGATTCTATAATCAATAATTTATCTCTGAGCGCTATATTACGAGTTAGACTTTTAACAGGCCCAGTGTAAGCGTAGCAGCTCCACGTATTCAAAAGTACAACAGTAATTGTTGTAATTATTATAAGATTACTTTTCATCTATTTATTAATTACTGAATATTTAATCATTAAATTACTTCATCAGTAATGGTCACTAATTTAAATTGACCAATACCAATGGGTATAACAGTAACTTTTTTATTATTAATATGATTATTTATATTTTGAAATTTTTAAATTTAATAAGAAAAAAATTTTAGCATGAGTACTTCGTATACTTAATTTAAGTATATAATATACTTGCAGTGAAGAATTGATATACTTGAATCAAGTAACAAGTATTTTCTTATTAATAAAAAAGGATTCATAATGTGAGAACATGGTTTTTGAAGTGTAAAACAGCATTATACTTAGCATAAGTACGCTTTATACGGGATCTCCGTATAAAATACACTTGTGGTAAGTAAGGAAGATCCTCAGTGTAAGAAAACTATATTATCAACTGAAGTAAACTTTGTAATCTTCTTTTATTATCTACCTACTTGAGATAAACAAAATACATTGGCTCACATTATACTGATTCCAAGTAGAAAGACTACTTAAATACAAGTACTTTATTTTCATAAAACTTGTATACTTATTACTTCTTCAACCGCTTGTAGTCTACTCAGGAGTGGTATATTCTGTATTTAGACTCAGTATTTTTTTTATTCATTTTAAAACGAAGTTTTACTGATTCCAGGTACTTTCTTTACCTGCCTTTCGAAACTTTTTTACCTATCACTTTTATACTGGGGACAAGTAAATTCTATAATTCGCCACCGGAAAAAATTTCTGTCAGTGTAGAGGCTTTGTTTTTATTTTGAAAATGTCATTATATTAAAAATACTATTTTTACGACTTAACTACTATTAATACTATAGCACCCATGTATTTTACATACAATATACAACGCATAAACGTACGGAGTGACCTCTAATTTTGAAAAATTTTACTAAGAGTTTGAAAACGAAAATTAGATCTGTTTGAACCTCTGTGTAGTTTATAGTGTCGTACATATATTTTTTAAAAGTGTGGTAGCGAGCACACAGTAATAAAATTGTGTAAGTAGAATGTGTAGTGAGGGGCGACTAATCTCGCCAACGCCATTTTGTTTATTTTCACGTTGAGCTAAACGGAATTTCAAGATTCATGAACAAAATAATTAAAGATCGGTATAGGATTATTGAGTTAATATTAAATTGTGATTCTTAAAACTATTACAACTTGAATGTGATTAAATTTTTAAAATTACAAAGTCGTTAACGTGTGGTCTACTGCAACAAAGACAGTTAAGTCGTGTTAGAGAGGTCGTGGACGAAGAATTTTCGGCGTCGTCTACGAAGTAAAAAATAATTAATAGTCAACTTCATAAATACAGATCAGAATGTTAATCAGTTAAAACAGATAAAAGTTAATAAATTAAATAAAAATATTGATATTGTCTTCAGATGAAAACATTATTTGTGCGTGATAGAGTTAAAGAAAGAAAGATAGCGGATTAGAAAAAGTAAGGCAAAACGTAGACGAGAAAAAAGAAATAAAAGAACGGTTAGCAAAAAAACGTGGCGCCGGTGTGTTACAATTATTGCAACCATAGTAGAATTTATCCAGATTATTGATAGTTGAAAAGGAACCTAAGTAGAATTAAATAATTAAATAATAAGTTAGACGCGTGTTATCTACCGTTATTGCGTGTTGTGTGCTTGCGCCTGCGGAAATCTCAAACACAAAATTTTTCTTGGCACCGGCACAAAAATTAAAATTAACAAAATAAAATAGAACTCTCACTAACATATTGGCGATTGACCTTCCATTTTCTTGAAGGAGCAACTGCGAAAAGATACGTGCATAAATTTAAATACAATAAAACTACGAAAAAGACCAAATTCTGGGGTGAAGTACATGTTGTGGGCGTCCCCGGAGTCGGCGGGGGCATATCACAGTCGCAGAAATTGGGCGAATCGCAAGTAAGTACCAAACGTCGTCGTGCAGTAAAGCGACGTCGCCAGCGGGTCATCATAATAGCAGCAGTGGTGACACGCTCGTTAAAACAAACGTTGTCATCCTTGATTATCAACAGCATCATTACGAAAATTACGAGCAACACCAACAACAGCAGCAGCAGCTCCAATTAAACGATATTGAATCAGACGAACAACAAGACCATTTTGAACTACTATCAACAAGTAATAAATCAACAATTCTTCAGCTGGACAAATCCATTCTTTCTGAAGTTACCTCGACGACGCCTGTCGTCACCGAGGTTCAGTGCACCGACAAAACGACTATCAACATTAATGTCGCGATGAACAACCAAGAGGCTCGTAAAAAACTCAGGTTTAAGCGTGTACTAGCTATGAACAATTTTGAAGATTTAATGGATACACAAGAAGGTAAATAAACCCGAGAAATTTGTTTATTAATATCATTTTACAATTATATATATTATCTTATGAATTTAAATAATAATTATAAGTGAAAGTTATGATATATATTTAATTATACTAATTAAATAAAATTTATTAGGACATTTTCAAAAATATTGATACATTATTATCATTATAAAATGATAGTCTGAATAGTCTGAAACTCGACATTAGTGGATAATTTTAAATATATATTTTACATTGTTAGACTTTCATTTAGTTTTTTTATAACCAATGTATTAGTTTCTAAAAAATGCATTACTTCAGTTAAATTGTTTGTTATTTTACGATGCATTTTGTTTTATAGTAGCGAAGAATATTTTTTTTTATTATGAATATTTATTATATTAATATTTAAAATTTAAATAACACTAAATTTATAGAAATTCCTAACGATATTGGAGTAGATGTAAATGATTTACGACCACCTGCCAACGGAGAATTGGAATTTGAATTAGCTGATGTTGACAATATGTCTAGTTGTATTGGATTAGATCAAGATATGGATGAAGGTAAGATACTTGCTTATTATCTATTAACTATAGATATTCAACATTTTAACATAATTATTATTAAAAAAAAAAGATGATATTAATTTTAAGAAGTTAAAAATTTGTATAAAAATTTAATAATTATTGATATTAAAACGTTTTAGACGAAGCTAGATCCGAAGCGACGTTTCGGTATACAGTAGAAAATGTATCGAAAATGAAAGATTCCCAATTATCACCACCATGTATTGTTCGTAATTTGCCATGGAAGATAATGGTTATGCCTCGGTCAAGTCAAACTCAAGAACGACAAACTCAACGATCATTAGGATTTTTCCTTCAATGCAATGGAGAGAGTGAGTCAACAACTTGGAGTTGTTACGCAGTTGCAGAATTACGTCTCCTTTCCTGTAAAGAGGGCCAAGAACCATTCAGTCGAAGTACGTGTTATTAAAAAAAAAATTCCCCATTTTTATATTGTCTATTTTATTTCTTTACCTTTTAATGTTTTTAACAGAAATTCAACATCTTTTCTATACTAAAGAAAATGATTGGGGATTTAGTCATTTTATGCTTTGGCAAGATGTACTGGATCCAGATAAAGGTTACATCAAAGATGATTCTATTACGTTAGAGGTATTTATATGTTTAAGTATATTTTTTATAAATTTCAAAAATAAATTTTTATAAACTTTGTTTCAACTATGTTTTTTTATTTGATTAGGTTCATGTGGTTGCAGATGCACCTCACGGAGTTAGTTGGGATAGTAAAAAGCATACAGGATATGTGGGTCTTAAGAACCAAGGTGCAACATGTTACATGAACTCACTACTGCAAACGCTATATTTTACAAATCAGGTTTGTTTGATTTTTTTTCCTTTCAAAATTATTCTTGTACTACATTTATATTTATATTTTTCATATTTATTTTTGATAGCTAAGAAAAGCCGTTTACAAAATGCCGACTGAGAGTGATGACTCAAGCAAGAGTGTAGCACTAGCATTGCAAAGAGTCTTTCATGAACTACAATTTTCTGATAAACCTGTGGGAACAAAAAAATTGACGAAAAGCTTTGGCTGGGAAACTTTAGATTCGTTTATGCAGCATGACGTTCAAGAATTTTTACGTGTGGTGAGTGTTTATTAGATAATAAATAATATATGAAAATTTTCCAATAGATAAACGTTTGATACGAATAAATACCAATAAATTTACTAGATGTAAATATTAATTTATGAATTATGATGAAAAAATTCGTATAAACATAAGAAAAGTGATTTATCGAATTCAAAACGTTTATCTTATTGTTTGTTTTCAATTAATGAATAAAAATATTTTTATTATTTAAATAAATATTTGTGTTAGTTATTGGACAAATTAGAAAGTAAAATGAAAGGTACATGTGTAGAGGGGACAGTGCCAAAATTATTTGAAGGAAAAATGGCATCTTTTATAAAATGTAAAAATATTAATTACACATCTACTAGAGTTGAAACCTTTTATGACATTCAATTAAATATAAAAGGCAAGAAAAATAGTAAGTATTATTGTACATCTATTAAAGCAGGAGTAAGAAACCTTTAACTTTTTAGAGAGCCATTTAATATTAGCTAATATACTCTTTATCTTCTATTACTAATAAACATAATGAGTAAAGGTTTCCTACTATTGTATTACAAAAATTTTATGAAACATAATGTAATGTAATTGTTAATCTTTATGATATAGTTTATGAATCATTCAGAGATTATGTGAGTACGGAAATTCTTGATGGAGATAATAAATATGATGCGGGTGAACATGGACTTCAAGAAGCCGAAAAAGGAGTCATTTTTCAATCATTTCCGCCAGTTTTGCACTTACATCTTATGAGATTTCAATATGATCCTGTCACAGATTGTTCTGTTAAATTTAATGATAGATTTGAATTTTATGAAAAAATAACTCTTGGTGATTATTTACAAGCTGAAGAAGCAACCAATGCTAATTACACATTACATGCAGTTCTCGTACATAGTGGTGATAATCACGGAGGTCATTATGTTGTTTTTATTAATCCTGCAGGTGATGGAAAAGTAAGTTGAATTGATTTATGATTAATAAAAATTATTTATACTTGATATTTGATTGAGTGTTTAATAAAATTGAAAAATCACTATTTCAAAATTTTTTAATAATGTTTTACAATGTCCATACATACTTATTTCATTTTGTTCGTTTAATAGTGGTGTAAATTTGATGACGATGTAGTATCACGATGTACAAAACAAGAAGCAATAGAACATAATTATGGTGGTCAAGATGAAGACATATCCATGGCAGTGAAACATTGTACAAATGCTTATATGTTGGTTTACATCCGTGATTCAGAGTTGGAAAATGTTCTTCAAGAAGTCAAAGAAGAGGACATTCCTCAAGAGGTCAGAAATGTCCTTCAAAGAGAACAGGAGATATTTGATTATAAATGTGACAAAGATGTGACCGATTGTGTTCGAGATAATTGTGATTCTGAAATTACAACGTTACGGCCGTGTACACAGACTTCGCGAAATCCAAATCTTTTTATTCATGACTTTTAAATGAAATAATATTATATTTATAATTATTGATATTTATGTGAAAAATTAATTGAATGAAATATTCCGAATTTTTTTTCTCCTCTAAAAAGTATATTATTATTCGAGAAAATGAAAAATTATAATCTTTGAAAAAGTTTTTTCCTCGCATCGTATTATACTTCGAATTTTATCAATGCAATTTTTATGAATTTTTTTTGTTTTCATTGACGCTATTTATATTAGTTATTATAGATTCATTTTTGAATCAAATTTCTTATTATTATTATATTTTCCAACGAATTATTTTACATTCACAAAGATATTAAAAATCAAAAAAAAGGTTGACTCGTGATAATTAAATACTAATTTCACCTTTCTTAAAGTCTTCTAATATTATTCAGTTAAAATCAATTCAACTATAACGTTGTAATCTTATTACTTATCTCGAAAATTTTTAGAATAAAAAAGTATCCTTGTTGAATCAAATATAATAATAATAATAATAATAATAATAATAATAATAAATATACAGAGAAATTTTTCGTGTCCGTCCTTGTCGCAAAGCAAGTTTTTGTACATTATATTATGACGTTTTTAATTATGAAAAAAATATCCATTGATGTTGATAATTTCAAGTATTAAGAGATGCTTACTTATTTATTTGTTGTTACTTATTAATAAATAGAAGAGAAATAGTTAAAAAAATTTCGTCAACAAAATAAACAATTTTAATGACTATAAATTGTGAGGGCTCTGAATTTTTACCATTATTTTAAATATCAATACAGCCAAAAATATATAAGTTTAATCGGTTTTTTGTCATCATCATCGTGCTTTAATCGTTTTGTTGTCTATCATTTACTTTTTTTTTTTCTTTTTTCTTCACAATTTAGCTATTTAGATATGTGTAACAGCACAACGTATTTGGATTTGATGCAGTCTACTTTCGCTTATCTGAATAATTTTCATTTTGTCATAAAAAAATTCTCTTAAAGGAATATCGTTATTATAGCAGATGAACAAAATTAAAATTATTTAAATGCACTGAAGATAATGACAAAGCAACCATATTATTTTTCTTTTGTTTTATAAATTCATTATCAAAAGCATAAAAAAGCAATAAGTTTTAAATTAATATTAAAAAAATAAAATGGGATTATGTACACAATTAGATAATTTTAATTTTGTTGGTCTAGCTGGTGGAGAGGCTACAAGAGGAGAAGAGACTGGAATATATCAGACGAAAGGAGAGGAATGATGCTCATTTATATATGACCGTCAATGTTCTGCTTGAGGATAGCTTTGACGGTCATCAAGGCAACGATCTCTACGATCCAGAACGTGCACTATATCGCGTATTTCGCATTCGTAAACAGGCAACTCTTCATGAATTTCTAGAGTTGCTTAGTGATAGTTTGGTAAGTTTTATAAATTCCTTGATTACTTTTTTACTATCAATGTAAGTTATTTATTTATTTATCTAAATATATATAAAATATTTTCTTATAATCTACTATTCTTCAAGAAATATCCCATCGAACAAATTAGGATATGGCCATTCAGTTCACGTACTAATCAAACATGTAGACCAACTTTAATCGAACCAGAAGCCGATCTTCAAAAAAGTATGGCTGCATGTGCTGAACAGGCTAATCCTTGGCCTGTCTTTGTGGAACTTGTTCCACCAGACTCTGGTCTTACATCATTGCCACCCTTTGATAAAGATACTGATGTACTTTTATTTTTCAAACTTTATGATCCAAAAAATAAGAAAATTCACTATGCTGGACATCACTATATGCCCGTTAATGCTAAAGTTTGTAAGTATTGATTATTTTCAAAGGTTTATTTAAGTAATGATATTTTTCATAATTATCATTTATTTTTAGTGGAACTTATACCAATTTTAAATGAAAGAGCTGGCTTCCCTCAAGATACAGAACTTGCACTTTATGAAGAAATAAAACCAAATATGGTTGAAAAGATAGAAAATATGACAGAGCCTTTAGAGAAAGTACTTGAAGAATTAATGGATGGTGATATTATTGTTTTTCAAAAAGAAGAAAGAGACAATGAAATGTATGAATTACCTACTTGTCGTGATTATTTCAAGTACGAAATTATCAATTATTTTGAAAAATATTTATTCAAAATGTGCCTGTATATTTTTAATTGGAATATATTTTTTTCAGAGATTTATTCTATAGGGTAGAAGTAACATTTTGCGATAAATCTATACCAAACGATCCAGGCTTCACAATGGAGTTATCTCAAAGAATGACATATGATCAAATAGCAAAAGCTGTTGCACAGCGAGTAGGCACAGATCCATATTTATTACAGTTTTTTAGATGTCAAAATTATAAAGACGTACCAGGACAAGCATTAAAGTGTACATTTGATGGCACACTTAAAGATTTAGTAGCTTATTGTAAGCCCAAGACAAAAAAGATATTTTATCTACAACTCAGTATTCGAGTAAATGAACTTGAAAATAAAAAACAGTTTAAATGTATTTGGGTTGAACCTTCTTTGAAAGAAGAAAAAGAAATTATATTGTATCCAAATAAAAATGGTACTGTCGCAACACTTTTAGAAGAAGCAAAAAAACAAGTTGAATTATCTGAAAGTGGTTCAGGAAAATTAAGGTTATTAGAAATAAATGGCAGTAGAGTAGTACCTGGTCCTAAAGAAGATACACCGTTAGAAAGTTTAACAACTATTGGTCCCAAGGGATATAGAATAGAAGAAATACCCAAAGATGAAGTGAATCTTGCTGAAGATGAAATGCTAGTACCTGTAGCTCATTTTCATAAAGATGTATTTTCGCCATTTGGAATACCGTTTATGTTTAAAATTAAACATGTAAGTATCATTGTTATATATTATAATCATTATTTTATCATTTTTATTGAGTTGTCAATAAATAGCTTGAACTATTTTCATTTTTTAGGGCGAACCTTTTACTAAAGTTAAGGACAGGTTACTAAAAAAATTGGGTGTTCAAGAGAAGGAATTTGAAAAGGTAAGTAAATAAATTTGATGAAAATTTTATATTTTATGAGAGTTCATAAAAAATTTAAAGTTTAAGTTCGCGATCGTATCAATGGGGAAACCACAGTTTATCACCGACGAAGCAGATTACTTTATCAATCTTGCCGAATTTCGCGTAAATTCTGGTCAAGGTAAGTCATGATTTATTAAGATAATTATTTCATCTTTCTGCAATTGATTAAGTTTTAATTTTACAGCGTTACAAAAACCTTGGTTGGGTTTGGATCACGTTAATAAGGCTCCGAAGCGTCCACGAATCAACTACCTCGAAAAGGCTATTAAGATATATAATTAAATTGATTGCCTGAGTAAACAATTTTTTTCAAACAGCCACCTATGTTATGATATAATTCTGTCATAAAGACACGGTGCATATGTTATTTTACGGATTAAAGAAAAAAGAAAAAAATTGAATCATACAATAATTTAAGTAGTATGAGAGAAAAATCACAAATCTGAGCATTATACATTAAGTAACGATAATGTGAGCACGATTGATAGCAACACACTATCACTTTTAATTGTTAAATTAAATTGCGATCGTGATTATTATCTCGTCATAATTACGTAATTATTAGAAGAAAACTTAATAAATAATTGTAAATTGGTATAGAAGCCAACAACAAAAATGGCGCGATTGTTTTAAACTATTCATAGTGTTTTTGTCAATACAATGAATGTTCGGACTATTTTCAATATTTTCAGCATTTATTTCGTGAGTTACATATAACATTAATTACAAACATTGAATTTTAATTTTTAACTTAAATTTAATTAATTTTTTCTACTAAATACACATAAATTACATAAATTATGACAGAGCTTGCAATATTCGAATGTGGCGGATTCGGATCTAAAATAAAATTATTTTATATAATTTAAATTAATTTAAAACTACATTCAACTTGAATATATAATTCGATAATATATTAATATTACATGAGGTAAATTTCTAAATATCATAAATCACCGTGAATAATTCCAACTAATTAAAGAATATGTTTTATCTTATATCAAATAATGGTTTTTTTTTAGTGTATATTTATAAAATTAACATATCTATATTGAAAATTAAGACTCTTGGTATACTTTAATGATATAATCATCGATATTTTATCGTTAATCAATTTTCTTTACATTAATCAAACTGTGGTAAACAAAAAAAAATATTTCTTTTTGTTAATAAAATGTGGGTTTTTTTGACAAATAATATATTCCTATTTGATTATTCAGTTATCAAATACAAGAAAATAACGAAAAATACATCGTAAGTAAATTTGAACCACATACAGAAATGAAGTATTTTAATCAATGGATAAGCAAGACTCTACCATAATTGCGAGTAATGAAGTAATTACAGTACATATATAAATGTATGTCTCGATAAATGTGGATATATATATATATTATATAAATGTATATCCACATAAAATCATGTTACGTTATGTATTTATAAGAGATAGATATTTTGTTGCTAGAATTGCATTCATACTTTTACGTTGAAAAAAAAGATTCAACATTACATGATAATGTTAAATGTAACAAATATAAATAACAACCAAACATTATCACGTTCACCAAGTTATATAATTAATTAAACTTGATATGGAAAATTAATTTCAATAACTGAAATCGAATATAACATGGTATTTTTTTTGCAAGGAATCGCATAAATATACTAATATAAACATAAACAAAATTGTTTAATTTAAAATTGTATCATATTAATAATAAATAGAAAGTTTTCAGTCATTTATTGAGTTGAGAAATTTTTATGTATTTAAAAAAGTATTTTTTAACCTTTAGGCTGTGGAGCTGGTCGATATATGAACCAGCAGTCAAGTCAACGACTCTACCTGAGATATCCAGTGATATTACGTATACATTTTGCATATTCTGAGAGGTCAATTTGTACTGAAATTTCTCCGCAGCCTAAAGGTTAATAGAAAAAAATTACGCTATATGTTAATATGGGCATGCGTAATAGTTAACTATTAGTTCATTTTTATTAGGGTTATATGAAAAAGTAAAATTAATTATTATTTAAATTGTTGAAATTTGCTTCAACATTTATTTACTATATTATTTATATATTCTTTAAAAGAATTTTGATTTAAAAAATATATTTTGTCCTTAAACCTTAGAATGTGTGTAAAATTTAAGTCTGTACTGTTTGAATAAGAAAAACTAGTTCAGAAATTGATTCGTATAATTTCAAAAAGATAAACAATTAATTAATTTTAATAAATACTTTTAATAATAATATAAAGTAATCTACTGATAGGATATTTTTTGGTATTATTTATAATACTATCTATCTAATTACAAAATTAAGTTTATTTGATGTTTTGATGACCTTTTAGCACATATAACATGCCTTATAAAGATAAGATATTTTTGATAATTTATGTTAAATACTTGAGTTTAGAAAATAATTAATCTAAAATAAGAAATAAATAAACTATTTTTGAATAATAGTTATTAAATATTTGATATAAATATGAAAATAATTGTTAAATAAGTAACATATATGATATTTAAAAGAGAAAGGTGAATAACATTCTACATCACATGAAAAAATAATGAGAAAGTAGTAAATCATGTTTTCTGGGGTACATTTCATCTTATTAGCATTGCTGTTGTCAACTAACTCAAAATACTTATAAGTTGATATATAAAACTGAACTTGAAAATTTCATTGGAACTTATTTCTATCATTGTATTGAATATATATGTTATAAATATTTGGTAAGTATTCACTTGAATTATACATCATTTAAAAAATAAAAAAAAATTTTTTCCGTAGAATTTCCGGTAACAATACAATTATTTATACATTACTAACAAAATGTGTGATTAATTAAATATAATAAATTATAATTATTTTTGGTTTAATTGCTTTTTTATTGGAAAATAACATATTATGAAATAATAAAAATTGTTTAAAATTTTTAGAATAATTAAAATGGTATTCAAACTGATTGCTTCTGATATACGAAACATTCGATTGGTTGAAAATTTAGTAATAGATAACTTAAAACTGAGAAGACAAATATTTCAAGGTCGAATGACAAAAACCACGTTATCTCATTCAAGATATATTACTATGCCAACAATTATTCCACAATCGATGATTGTAAGTTTTTTAAGTTAATTATCTATATAGTTTTTATTTTATATAAATGATATTCCTATCATTTATATAAGGCAACTTCATTTATTTTATCAATAAATTGTAAATATATTTCTTCATTCCGCAAAGTATCATTGCATCAGGTTCATGCTTTTTATCTCTTGGTAGTTTTCATATAAAATTATACTGTTTTGTATCATTACATTCGATTAATAATATATATTCACTCAAATTTCATCAAGTATTCGTGATTTACAGTCGTTGATTTTATTTTAATAGAAAATGGCGGAAATTTTACATAAAAATTTATGGGAAAGTGATCCAGAATTATATGATTTGATACAAAAAGAAAAAGATAGGCAAAGATCAGGGTTAGAATTAATAGCTAGTGAAAATTTTACATCCTTGAGTGTTCTTCAATGTTTAAGTACCTGTCTCCATAATAAATACAGTGAAGGCTTACCTGGACAACGGTAAATATAATCATTCACTATTAAATAATATAAGTTAAAAGATATTTATAAATAATTAGATATTATGGAGGTAACGAGTTTATTGATCAAATTGAGTGGCTAGCACAAAAACGTTCCTTGGAAGCATTCAATTTAAATAGTGATGAATGGGGATGCAATGTTCAACCTTATTCAGGTAGTCCAGCAAATTTCGCTGTCTACACTGGTCTGATAGAGCCACATCAACGAATTATGGGCTTAGATCTTCCAGATGGTGGTCATTTAACTCATGGTAAAATTTTTTTTTATTCAAACACATTTAATTTACTATGATAAAATTTTTTAAATCAAAACTTTAATAGGTTTTTTTACTACAAACAAAAAAATATCTGCTACATCAATTTTTTTTGAATCAATGCCGTACAAAGTGAATTCCAAGACAGGATTGATTGATTATGATGAATTAGCAAAACACGCAAAACTCTTTAAGCCGAGGGTGATAATTGCTGGAGTATCTTGTTATAGTAGATGTTTAGATTATAAAAGATTTCGTGAAATTGCAGATGAAAACAATGCTTATTTATTTAGTGATATGGCACATATATCTGGTTTAGTAGCAGCTGGTTGTATTCCAAGTCCTTTTGAATATAGTGATGTTGTATCAACAACAACACATAAAACATTACGTGGTCCACGAGCTGGTGTTATATTTTTCCGTAAAGGTGTAAGAAGAAGTGATAAAAATGGGCAAAAAATAATGTATGATATTGAAAGTAAAATAAACCAAGCAGTGTTTCCAGGACTACAAGGTGGACCTCACAATCATGCGATTGCAGGAATTGCTACAGCAATGAAACAGGTTAAAGATCCAGAATTTCTTAAATATCAACAACAAGTGTTACTAAATGCTAAAAAATTATGCCATAGTTTACAAATGCGTGGATATAAAATTAGTACTGATGGAACTGATGTTCATATGCTTCTTGTTGATCTTAAAAATCAAGGAATCACAGGATCTAAAGCTGAAAAAATGTTGGAAGAAATTTCTATAGCATGTAATAAAAACACGGTTCCTGAAGATAAAAGTGCACTAAACCCAAGTGGAATTAGGCTTGGAACTCCGGCCTTAACAACACGTGGGTTTAAAGAAGAAAACTTTGAAGATGTAGCGGAATTTATTCATCGAGGATTACAGCTATCAAAAGAAGTATCTGCCAAGTCTGGTCCTAAGCTAATTGATTATAAATTAATTATTGAAAATGATCCAGAAATTAAAGCGAAAATTAAAGTTCTACGGGATGAAATTGAAGAATACTCACGGAAATTTCCTATTCCTGGTTTTGATGAATATTAAAAATTAACGATATTTCATGAATTATTCTTTAGTTATTTTATATTTTTTGTTAAATACAAAACATAAATAAAATATTTTTTATAGATAATTTTATAAAACTTTCCTCATTCGCTAATGTATGTCTTAAAATAAACTACTAAGAGAATAAATCAATCCAATTTTTACTATTATGAAGAATAATTTTGATTTATTTTTTTTTCAATATATAATTTTGATGCATTTCTAATACGTCTGCCGAATATACAAATTTCAAAATATATAATTATATACAGATACAAAGGAAAAATTATTTTAAAAAGTTCATTCCAATACTATCATTAGTCTACACATACATGATTTTTTACTATGTAAGAGAAATATTAAAACTTTTAGTTTTAGTTAAAGTATCACCTTTCTTTTAACTTAAGTTATAGTCGTATACAATATTACATCAACTATTAAAATATAACTCACTCAAATATTGTAGTTATTTTGTACATTGCATTAATTCTTCATGACTTAATACAAGTTTCTTATTAGATCTTGGTTGTGAATGAAGCTTCATAATAATAATAATAATAATAATAATATTATCATGTTTCATTTTTACTTATAAATTATTATTAATTTAAGCTTAACTTAAATGGTCATCAATAATGAGAGTGTATTGAAAATTTATTGGAGCAGTTATTAACTGATCAATAGCTATTCATTCAATTTAAACCACATAACAATACAAGTCTCGATCCACTTTCTCAGCCTTATAATTATAAATTTTAATGTTTCTATACATACGTATTTATGTTAATTTAATATTTATAATATTTTTTTAAAAGTATTATTCTTTTTCATTATTACAATACATGTTCTTACAAAAATCGAAATTTTTATAAGTTCTTTCACATCTATAATATTTCTCGGACCAGATAAAGTTAATCAAGCTCTTGAACTGCATGTGAAGTTGAGGCATTACTATTCAATTGTCGTGATACTTGATCTTCACGATCTGAATCATCTTCTTCAAGACCATTAAAAAATGATTGTAAGATACTACCAAACAAGCCTTGCCGTTTTGGTCGTGGTGCTGGAGCATTGAAGAATAGCTGCGCGATTTTATCTAAATATGTTCGATAGCTTGGATCTCTATTTAAACTTATCTGATACTGTTCACATAAAACTGAGAATCCTCCGAATGAAGATCTAAAAGAATTTTAAAAATTAGTATGCTTATAATTGATTATAATGTTTTAAATATTTTAGAAAGACAAGAAACTAACTTTAAACTAAGTTAATTTATAAAATTGAATTATTATCGAGCGTGATAGAATAAATTTTGTAAGTAACTTGAACTTACATCTTGATAGTTTTCAGTAAAAAATATAAAAAATTTAATAATGGCAAAATGTAAGGAGGTCCACGTCTTATTTTGGGGTGTTGAGATGTATAAGATTCGAAGGCTTCTTGTGCAGTGGTTGTATTGTGTAAACAAAGATACCTAAAAAAATATCAAAGAAATTATTTCAATGAAAATGAAATTACAAAAATTTTAGATACTTACTGTAAAACAACTTGAGTTATGAAAAGGTCAACTTCATTAGAATATCCATGTTGCTGATGTAATTCTACAAGCATTGATGCACAACCTGAACCATCACAGCTATAGACAAAATGTTGTCTAGCCATTGTATAGTTTTTTTCTACAATAATTATTTTTGTTGTTACTATTTTTATGTACACACATGTATATACCTATAAATACGCCTATATGCCTCTGTTGCCTCCGTATCAACATATTGAAATGACGCTCTGAACTCATTTGGCGACGTAGTTGCCTCCGAAACGGAGGCAAATAGGTTTTTCCATGTTTAACCTCACCTAACCAAATTTTTGTAACTTGGTACATTGTACTTGCAGGGTGATTTTTTTTTCTTAAACGATGCGGCCTACGGTCGGACAGCACACAATTTAAAGTTTATGATACCTACTTTTTTTTCGAAAAAAGTAGATTCATTTTTTTGAAAAAAATGAAATAGTTTTACTCCAAAACGCGGAGGCGATAAAGATATATAGACGGATTTATATATATATATAGATATGTATATATATACCTAAACAAATAACTATTTATAATTGAATACCTTGCCAATAAATTTGAGCTATCATTTTATGTAAATCAGGATGTCCCCATTTGCAGTTTGTATGTTTCAAACTCCATTTAAAAGCATTATTAATAAATGTTTCTCGTTCAGGTGTAGCAGGCTTCATAATGCTGAATAAGTTAGTGATTTTTTCAAAAGAACTTTGAAGTTCTTCTACCTCTTTTCTGTTGAGCACATTGATAAATAAAATTCCTAAGTCTGCTCCACTTGCGTGCTGTAAAAATAATAATTTTTGAATTGATTACTTAAATAAAAAACAAATAATTTAATTATGTACCTGATCACGTTGTAAAAGCAAAATTGCACCGTTATAAAGTAAGTCTAATAAATCTGAGTACTTTTCTTGAGCGATGTATCTATAAAAGGTTATATATAATTGGTAAAAAAGCTAAATATATACAAATAATTAAAATTGTTGAGAAAAAAATAATTACCGAAAATATAATGTTCTGTACATTTGATGAGCTTCATAATAATTTCCTGAATTAATAGAGTTTTCTAATTTCCTTAAAACTCTTTGAATACCATGATTCGTTCTTGAAGCCATGTTCTTAGTTTAGATGATATAGATAATAATACTTGTCACAAGTTTCCTTTTGCACTGATAAATTTCTTTGCAGATTTCTAAATAAATTAAACGTCAAGAATTACTTTTACGAAATTTAGTCGAAAAATTATCACATGCAAACATATAGTCACATTGACCAAAGAAGTTTTTTAAAAAACTTGAACGCAGCCCGTCTATCTATATTAAATAATGTATAGTCTCGAACAGAGAGAAGACTTCTCTCTGGTCTCGAACTTTCACCGACATGTCATTTTACCTCACTGTAGTCATAATTATAACTACGCGACATAAACGGTGTCTCAATTTGGTATAAGAAAGTATAAGAAAATTGCATGTATAACCTTTAAAAAATTGAGCAACATTCATGTCTGGTACTGTACCTTTTCGATTTATAATTTGACTATATATAAAACCGATGCAAATAACGCGTTGGACAGATTAAACTATCATAATTTCTGATACAAACTCTTTTCTTAGTTTTGAACTTGATACTAATTTAATAAATAATTTATAAAAATTAAAGTCATCACTAATTATTTAATAAAAAAGTTATATTGAAAATGTCTATTGGAGTTCCTATTAAAGTGCTTCATGAAGCTGAAAATCATATCATAACCCTCGAAACCAACACCGGAGAAGTGTATCGTGGAACTTTGATAGAAGCCGAAGATAATATGAATTGTCAAATAAAAAATATTACAGTCACTTATAGGGATGGCCGTGTTGCTCAGTTAGAAAATGTTTATATTCGTGGTTCTAAAATAAGATTTCTTATATTACCCGATATGTTGAAAAATGCACCTATGTTCAAAAGACCGGGTGGGAAAGGTTCTGGAACAGCAGGTCGTGGAAAGTCAGCAATTCTACGAGCCCAAGGTTAATTATTGTCCATCTGCTTTCTGTTATTGTTAATAATATTTTTTTGATTTTATTATGCATTATTATACTATTTCATGTATTTTTGTAAATTTAATGATGAAATAATTGATCAGCTAGAGGACGAGGTCGAGGACAAAATCAGAGAGGACGTGGAACTGGTTCAGCACCTTGGCTTAATCAACAAAATCAACCTGGTGGAACTCAAGCAGGCAGAGGACGAGGATAATTGTATTTTTAAAAATTCATACTTATTTTTTGGTATTTATTGAGTCATCTTTACAAGTTTGATTAATTACTACACTACGAGTAGCTAGAAAAATGTTTTCTATCTTTTGTATTTTTAATTGAAACTAATTTTTGAAAAATACTACTAATAAAGTTAAATAAAAAACTGATCCCCTTTAATTTTATAAATTTCTGGAATATTTATTTAATTTTTGAACATTACTTTCATAAAAAAATATTTTATTGGGTATATATTTTCATTTTTTCTGATACTTATTTATTGTGCTTATAAATAGTATCATAAATATCAGTACGCCGTTGTTTGAAAATTGGAATCTCATTTCTAACTTTTTCCACCAACGATGAATCTTTAAATATTTTAGATAAGTTATAATATTTGATAATAAAATCACTAAATTTTTAAAATTACCTATTTCAATAACAGCCATATTTTCGGTAATACCAAGATCTTGAATCACTTCTCCGAATGGACTTGTTATTTGACTATGTCCCCAAGCAATATAACTTGCTTCAGTATTTCTAGCCGAAGAAACACAAACAACATAACATTGATTATCATTAGCTCGTGCTCGTTGGAGCAATTCCCAATGTAATGGTCCTGTAGTCATATTGAATGCACTCGGATATACTAACATTTGACATTCTTGAAACAAATGATCCATAAGTCTTCAGGTGGTATTATCATTAAATAGATATTTAAATTTATTACCTTTTTTACGATAAAGCCGTGCCATTTCTTCAAATCTAATATCATAACAAATTCCAATCCCTATTTTCCAATTTTTTATATTCACAGTTGTAAGAGTATTACCAGGAGACAACACTTCACTTTCCATGAATTTGATCTTTCCTGGTATATTTATATCAAATAAATGTACCTATAAAAATCAAAAATAATAATATTTCAATTGCCGTACATTTTTACTTAAGACGCCTATTCAATTTTGCCATCAATGTATCCGTACCTTTCGATGTTTAGCTACAAGCTGACCTTCAATATCCCAAATAGCGCAAGTATTATATAAATTGTTTCCATCCTGTTCCGGAATAGTTCCAGCTATAATGTGTATTTTAAGTTCTTTTGCTAATTCTGATATAATGGAACAAGTTTCTCCTGAAGGAATACTTTCTGCATACTTGGCAAAATATTCTATAATTATATTTATTTTATATGAAAATTGAATAACTTTAAAAAATGGATTAATTATTTAATTACTTTAGCAACAGGATTTAAGCAAAATCTAGATAGTGACTAGTACTTGTAGTCATTTTTGAAATTAATTTTATAATTATTAATTATTATTATTTTTTTTTGTTTTACAACATGTACAATGTATGTATTTACAACAGTATACCTACTGAGACCATAAGGACAATTAAAACATTCAGGATAAATGATTACATCAGCATGTTGATTTTTTGCTTTTTTAGTGAAAGAAATCGCTTTTTGTATATTTGTTGTTTTGTTTTCATCGATTGCTAGCTGAGCTAAAGCTACACGTAAAGCTAAAAATCAAATAAAATAATTACAACAATGATGATAAAAATTAAAAATGATTATATTACATACTTGACATGGTTCTAATTTTTAGTATTGAAGTGGTCATAATAAAATTCGGATATATCGTTTCAAAGTATTATAATTACGAATATAATGTAATGATAAGCACATTTCTAGACTTGACATGTGTATTCAAATTTTTATTTTATTGTCAGAAAAATAGAAATTAAATGTAAGTAGATAGACAAGACTGCATGTGATGGTTCAAAGATACAAGTACTTTTTTTTTCTTTTTTTTCAGAGACTTGATAAATGATTATGACACTGATGAGTAAAGATATAATATTACAGTATTTAATATTATTATATTTACATAATTATACATAATTTTAACGCGCAAATAAGAAACCTATCGAAAAAACTTGATTATTTGTAAAAAAAATCGATATTAAATAATCGATTATTAAATAATGGAATAATTGAGACATCGATATGTTTACTGATAAGATCAAGAGACACGTTCATTTTAGTAGTGTCTCGAGCGCCAAGTATGAATAGCGGTGACGAAGGCACTACCGCTCAAATTAGCACTTTTGAGGTTATGCTCCTTTAAATTTCTAATTTCTCTGCAATAATGACATAAACTTTATTAAAAAATCTTTAAAAACCCCATTGATTAGCTACGACAATAAATTGCAATTGCTATTGTGTCCTGAAAATCATTTATTTGCAAAAATAAAAATTGGCCACGCCCCTTGGACCGCATTTTACGTAAAAAGAATCTTTTTCCTTAAGGCTGGGCTGAAGTCAGAAAGTTTCCCGGAGTTGACTTTACGCCCTCACGTTGTGCGGCGAAAAGCCGAAGCTCGATATCAATTGAAATTGAGTAGGTAACAGAGAAATCGTTCGAAAAATTATAATTTTCAGGGATGCACTACAAAAAGGGAGCCTTAGGGCACCAAGAAATTCACAAATTTTTGAATAATCTGTTTCGAGCAAGACAGAGCACAGAATATATCTATCTATCTCCGTCTTATTTTTCAGAAAAGACTGCGAGTTTGAACAGTTGACGAGCAAGCACATCCCCCACTCTCTGTTACCAAGCCTGAAGCTTATGATATCTAAACGTAAACAAAGCAAATGAAAATATGTTGGCTCTGTAGTCAGAAGATTCGACATTTATTTTACCGAACGGTGTTCGATTCCAATTGCGGAAAATTTTTTTTTTTAATTCAAATTGCATGTAATTGCAATTTTATCATGCCAAAAAAGAGTTTTAAATTTCAATTTTTATGTAAAATTATTTTTCAATCAATCGATGACAAATGAGACAATATTTGAACAGGGTCATTAACCTTTTTTTGTACAAATACATTGATAATAGCCTTTTTTAACAACTTATTAACAATAAAAAATAGTTTAAACAATCCGCGGCGAGTTCCGACACTTCACCGGCAAGCTCTACCCCCACTCTCTGTGCCCAAGCCTGCAGCTTATAATTTTCAAGCATCTTCACTATTATTGAAACCATGATAGCTCAGTGGTTAGAGCACCAATCTTTTATTTTGCTGGGCAGGGTTCGATCCCAGTCATAGGCAATTGTTTTTTCTTTTTTTTGCTTAAGTGACTTTATATACTTATAAATTAATTCATATATTTGATTAAATTATTCTTCCAATTAATTACGGAGAACAACTTGTTTTTCTGAAAATCAGCTGAGGGTGAGGAACGAGTTACTATGAATTCTCTTTTTTCGAAAGTGTTGTCTTTAAAAGACAATAGGAATTGATTTTGAACTTATATAAACAACCAATTATTGTATTTATATAAAATTTTAATGAAAAAAAAAGGAAAAAAAAAATTGGTTATGACTGGGATCGAACCCTAATCGGTAAAATGAAAGCTTGGTGTTCTACTCACAGAGCTAACACATCATCTCTGACATTATGTTTATGTTTATAAATTGTATAATGCAGGCTTGAGTACGAAGGGTAGGGATAGAGTTTGCCGGCGAAGTGCCGGAAATCCCCGTGGATTATTTCAACTACTTCTAAATATTTCTAAATTGCTTAAAAAAAAACTACGTTCATATAGCTGTAGTAAAAAAAGTGTTTATAACCCTGTTTTCCGACTCGGCGTCGATAAATTACATAAATAATTGAGAAAAAAAAATCAAATCGTTGGTAAGAATTCATTTTAGCATGTTAATATTATAATTACATGCAAATCTAACAAATAAAAGAGAAAAAAAAACTTTATCATGACTGGAATCGAACTCTGCCTAGCAAAATAAAAGACCGATACTGTAACCACTGAGCTGTTATGGTTTTAGTACGCTCATATATGCTTAAAAATTATAAGCTGCAGGCTTGGGCACAGAGAGTGGGGGTAGAACTTGCCGGGAAAGTGCCGAAACTCGCCACAGATTGTTTAAACTACTTTTCAATGTTAATAATAATATGATTAACTTGTTAATAACATAACATTGTTAATACATGTAAAGATGTATAAGTTGTTAAACACAGGCTATTATCAATGTATTTATACAAAAAAAAAGTTTATGGCTCTGTTCAAATATTTTCTGACTTAGTGTCAATGAATTCAATGAGTAAAGAGAAAAAAAAATCAAATCATTATAATGGATCAATTATGGCATGTCAATATTATAATTACATGCTAATCTAACGAATAAAGTAGAAAAAAAAGTGATTATGACTAGGATCGAACCCTGCCCGGCAAAATAGAACTCTGACGCTCTAACCACATGGCCAGCATAATCTCGATATTGAGTTTATGTGTATTTGTTTTTACACTACATGCTTGGATACGCCGACTCGGAATTGAGCTTTTTGATTAACATTTATACCTAATAAAAATGATAACAATGGATGAATATATATATTTGAAGTTATTTGCAGGTATTATATTAATTAATGTTAAATGAGTATCATCATTTTTATTTATTCTAACTGCAATAGTCATCAAAGTATAAGGCATTGTAAAGCGATACACTATGTTTACATCACATACATATATTACCCGTACACACTCATACACAAATTACTCACCAAAATGCAGGGCCCCATCAGTTCTGGATACGGATTGAGCATTTTTTCAATATGAATGACTGAGGTCATCTACGAGCATAATGCTGTCACCTATCAGAATTTTTTCAAACTAATTTTCCGGAGAATATCATCTGGAATACAAGATTTCTAATTATTTCTAAATTATTCAATTTTATACTATGAATTGATTTTTTTGACATTCAGACAGGTGGCAAGGACTGACGCAAACACGAATTTTGGGCGAAAAACGTATAAAAATGAAATAATTAGTGATTTTTCATCTGAATGATGTGGCCGCCATCTTGAAATTTAAGCGCGGCAAATCAATTCATAATTTTTTCATTATTCTTTCTAATTTTTTTAATAAAAATATTCACTATATACAAAAAATTGTTGTTTACGTCAGTCCGGCATTAATTTTTCTGTAATTTGGTACCTAATTTTATAGAAATAATCGTAAATTGGCGAAGAAATTAGAAATATCCCGATCCCATGTATTTGGATAGGGGGAATCAGTCGCCTTCCTGACTTCAGCCCAGCCTTAATGTCGTGTCAATTATACATATACTACGGTGTCTTAAAGGATATTTATGAGATATAATTTGCAAATTTCAGTATTTCTTGAAGGTCTACTACAAATAAACATTTATTTAATTATATATTTTTAATAATAATTGACTTATTCAACTTAAAAATGGTGTTAAATGTTGATATATGCATATATTAAATCCGATATTGTTAATTTTAAACAACGAATTATAACTACTTTTAAAAAAATATTATGTTAGTATTTGATGATTAACTGTTTTGTTGAACCAATAATAAATCTGAACATTACTTGTTAAAAATTTCCCGCTCTCAAGGGAAATAATTTTAATCTAAAGCGTTTTCGAGCATGAAAACTCACCGCACGGTGAGATGAGCGATCATCGTCGATTATATCCGAAGTTTAAATTTGAATGCCAGTAATTGCCGCTTTTTTAAATTGTAGGTTAGATTAATAACAGAAAGAAGACTGAGAGTAGCAATGCCGTTTAAAGAAATATAAAACTCATAAATCTCGCGCTTCCGTTAGTTCGGATAACGGCCGTAAAGTGCAATAGCGCTGGTGCCTAGAATAGATAGATAGATTGACTCTTTGCGTGTGAGTTCGGGATTATTCGATCGCCTCACCGTGCGGTGAGTTTTTGTGCTGAACACGCTAAAACACCAAAAATAGCCCTAACGGACTTCACAAGAATACGCGCCAAGTATGAATAACGAAGACGATAATCATCGTTCATCAAGTGCGATCTCTATAAAACTTCTTTATGTGAACAACTACAAAAATGCGTGAAATAATTGCAGCCAAGTATTTGAACATAAAGATTAATTATATTTAATAAAATAAAATAGATATGTTTTTTAATTTTCGTTAAATTATTATGTAATTTTCTACATAAATCAAAGACAAACTCTTTATAATGAGATGAAAAAAAAATTCAATACATGAAGAAAGTTGACAGCCTTATTACGTTTTAAAATTTTAAAAATAGAAAAAAAAATTGAATTAAAAACAAAATTTCTCTTTTTTTATAAAAATTTATTTAAACACAATTAACTTGGCGCGGCTCTTACAGCTGTAGATAAAACGATAATTGATTAGATGGTTCATATAATCGATAGCCACGCCAAGTTAATTGTGTTTAAATAAATTTTTATAAAAAAGAGAAATTTTGTTTTTAATTCAATTTTTTTTTCTATTTTTAAAATTTCAAAACGTAATAAGGCTGTCAACTTTCTTCATGTATTGAATTTTTTTTTCATCTCATTATAAAGAGTTTGTCTTTGATTTATGTAGAAAATTACATAATAATTTAACGAAAATTAAAAAACATTTCTATTTTATTTTATTAAATATAATTAATCTTTATGTTCAAATACTCGGCTGCAATTATTTCACGCATTTTTGTAGTTGTTCACATAAAGAAGTTTTATAGAGATCGCACTTGATGAACGATGATTATCGTCTTCGTTATTCATACTTGGCGCGTATTTTTGTGAAGTTCGTTAGGGCTATTTTTGGTGTGATTTCACGATTTTTTGTACAACAAACGGAATGTGCATCATTCGACTCCGTTACTACGACATGGAATTTTAGAACAGACATCACTATCTGTATATAGATAGTACAGTACCGGACATAGATGCTGTTCAATTTTTTAAGGGTTATACAAGCGATTTTTCTATACCGTCCTAAAGAAAATCACACAGCATTTATGTCCGGTACTGTATAATAGTCTTTAGT